GGCACTTTGGGAGGCAAAGGTGGGAGGCTGCTTCAGCCCAGGAGTTTGAGACCAGCCTGGGTGACATAGTGAGACCCCATGTCTACACAAAATAAAAATTAGCCAGGCATTGTTGTACACACCCAGGGTCCCAGGTACTCAGGAGGCTGAGGCGGGAGGATTGTTCCAGCTCAGGAGGTCCAGGGCTGCAGTGATCATGCCACTACACTCCAACCTTGGTGACGGAGCAAGACGCTGTCTCAAAAAACGCTGTGGGCGAGCTGTGGTCATCTGAGGGCTTGCCTGGGCTTGGAGGGGCTGCCTCCTAGCTCATATAGTTCCGACATGCTGGTGTTGGCTCTAGCGGGAGGCCTCGGGTCCTCACCATGTGGACCTCTCCATGAGGCTGCATGGATGTCCTCACAGCATGGTGGCAGCTTCCCCCAGAGCCTTAGAAGCCACACACCATCATTTTCACACAGTCTCGCTGGTCACTTGGTCAGCCCTGTTGAGTGTGGGTGAAGTCTACCCAGAGACGTGTTGGCCAGAAGGTGAGATGTACTGGGGGCCCTTGTGGAGGCTGGCTGCCTCGCTCATCTACTGCTTTCAGAGAGGAAGCTCAGGGGGCTTCTTGGACATAAAGTGGTTGTGCCTTGAAGGTGCCTGGGAGGAGGTTGTAGCAGGAGGCTTCTGGGCCAGGGATTTGTCTTCTGCCTGGGGCCATGGAGTGCCCAGTGCTTCGGCCTGGAAGACAAGCCTGGATCCTGAGTCTCCCTCCGGACCAAGGCTGCCTGGGCTTTCTGGACCCTACCTCACTCTACATCAGCACCGGGGGGAGCCTGGAAGGATGGGGGCTGGTCATTGCTAAGAGTGCCCCTAACAATGGGTCATGGGCCAGTTGGCAGCGTCACCGGGATTCTCACACCCTCTCACCATGTTGCTGTGGCCCTTGTCTGCCTGCAGCTCGTGTCGGGGGTTCCCAGCAGCCGAGTCCTTCATGTGGTTTTCATGAACATGGTGCACATCTTGGAGGAGTGGGCAGGTGGCTCCGGGCTGGGCCCTCCTTCAACCCTGATCCATGACTTGGGCTTAAGGTTGGATGAGCTGAAGGACAACCAAGACTTGAGTCCAGCGTCCAGAGACCAACATGTCCTGAGGCACTATGTGCCTTGTGGCCCCGGGCCCTGCCCCTTAGGCTGTGTGGAAAATGTCACCTTTAAAATTCACTGAAGCTTTCAATGTGGTGGGGGTGTATGCAAGGCCTGGGTAAGTGGAGATGGCCTGGGCTCACCTGTACTACAGTTACTCTTTCTTTTGACTTAAAAACACCATGTGGGCTTTGTTCCACCCCTCTGCTCTGCTCCAGTTTCCCTGGCAGCCTCGCAGACATGTCCTTCCATAGCATTCTCTGTGAACTCACAGTTACGTTTTGCACATCTCGGTGCGTGCAGTGACCCCAGAGAAGATAATCTTGCAGTGTGTGAACTTGTTTTCTTTAACAAATACTCCGTGAGTGTCGCTCCATGTCAGTGTGTCTAGGTGAACTTGGTTCCAGCAGCTGCGTGGCAGTGCATGAAATGAGGTGTCACACTTGGGGGAGTAGCTGCCTCTTGGGTCCTGCCTTCTGGCCACTGGCTGTCAGTGGATCCTGTTCTGCATGGTGGGTTAGGTGGGGCTGCAGCTCCTGCCCATTATTTCTACAGCCGGGAAAGCTGTGCTGGGCATCTGGCTCTGGGCTGCCTCTTGGGAGGAGACTCCTGGACTTACCGTCAGGGCTCAGCTGGCCTTGGTGTCCGCGGCTGAGCCAACTGTAACTGGTGCCGTGGTTCTCAGGAAGGACACAGACCGTGCAGGGCCTGAAGGTCTCAATTCTCTCTGGGGGCCCTGGGAAGGACACACCTGGCTTCAGGTGGGGATACTGAGAGGGAATAGGGATTCTGGGGCCCCTAGTGGGAATTCTGAGAATTCCCAGAAGTCCCTGCAACAGGTGAGACTGAGGACCACATAGTCTGAGCATCCCTGAAATCCACACGCCCATGGCCACCTGCGTTCTCCTCTCAGGGGCTCTTCCCAATGTCCACCTGCACCCTCCTCTCAGGGGCTCTTCCCCATGTCCACCTGTGCCCTCCTCAGGGGCTCTTCCCCGTGATCACTTGGGCTCTTCTCAGGGGCTCTTCCCCATGTCCACGTGCGCCCTCCTCTCAGGGGCTCTTCCCTGTGTCCACCTGCACCCTCCTAAGGGGCTTTTCCCTGTATCCACCTGCACCCTCCTCTCAGGGGCTGCTCCCCGTGTCCACCTGTGCCCTCCTCTCATGGGCTCTTCCCCGTGTCCACCTGCGCCCTCCTCAGGGGCTCTTCCCCGTGTCCACCTGCGCCCTCCTCGGGGGCTCTTCCCCGTGTCCACCTGCGCCCTCCTCTCAGGGGCTCTTCCCCGTGTCCACCTGCGCCCTCCTCGGGGGCTCTTCCCCGTGTCCACCTGCGCCCTCCTCTCGGGCTCTTCCCCGTGTCCACCTGCGCCCTCCTCTCAGGGGCTCCTCCCCGTGTCCACCTGCGCCCTCCTCTCGGGCTCTTCCCCGTGTCCACCTGCGCCCTCCTCTCAGGGGCTCCTCCCCGTGTCCACCACCTGCGCCCTCCTCTCGGGCTCTTCCCCGTGTCCACCTGCGCCCTCCTCTCAGGGGCTCCTCCCCGTGTCCACCTGCGCCCTCCTCTCGGGCTCTTCCCCGTGTCCACCTGCGCCCTCCTCTCAGGGGCACCTCCCCGTGTCCACCTGCGCCCTCCTCTCGGGCTCTTCCCCGTGTCCACCTGCGCCCTCCTCTCAGGGGCGCCTCCCCGTGTCCACCTGCTCCCTCCTCTCGGGCTCTTCCCCGTGTCCACCTGCGCCCTCTGCTTAGGGGCTCTGCCCCGTGTCCACCTGCTCCCTCCTCTCGGGCTCCTCCGCATGTCCACCTGCGCCCTCCTCTCAGGGGCTCCTCCCCGTGACCACCTGCGCCCTCCTCAGGGGCTCTTCACCACGTCCACCTGCGCCCGCCTGAGGGGCTCTTCCCCGTGTCCACCTGCGCCCTCCTCTCAGGGGCTCCTCCCCATTACCACCTGAGCCCTCCTCAGGGACTCTTCTCCGTGTCTACCTGCGCCCTCCTCTCAGAGGCTCTTCCTTGTGTCAGCCTGTGCCCTCCTCTCGGGGGCTCTTCACCGTGTCCACCTGCACCCTCCTCAGGGGCTCTTCCCTGTGGCCACCTGCGCCCTCCTCAGGGACTCTTCCCGTGACCACCTGTGCCCTCTCAGGGGCTCTTCCCCATGGCCTCTTGGGCCCTCCTCTCGTTCCTGCTCTTCCCTGTGGTTACCTGGGTTGTCTACTCTGGGACTCTCTGCTGTGGTCACCTGTGCCATCCCCTGAGAGACTCTGTGGTCACCTGGGTCCTCCCCTAGGGGGCTCTGTGGTCACCTGGGTCCTCCTCTCAGGGGATCTATCCCACGGTCACCTGGGCCCTCTTGGGGGCTTGTGGTCACCTGGGTCCTCTTCTTGGGGGCTTTTCCTGGTGGTCATCTGAACCTGCCTCTGGGGCTATGTGCTGGAGAGAAACGGGGCTGGATCTGGGCATCAGGCAAGGAAGACAGGGAGATGCTATGCTCTCAGCGTTCCTTGGCAGGGCTGTGAGCACAGGTGTCTGAGGCTGCCCAGCTGTCTATCCCCTCCTCATAGGAGAAGCGCAGATCTCGTGCCGAAGTTTGCCAGGGTTGTGATGGGTGCCGCTTCCAGCCTCCTGCCCTCATGCGGGTGTCAGACTGAATGAACTAGCCCAGATCTATGGAGACTTCTAATGGGCTTGGTGCTGACACAGAAAGTACGCAGGACTCGGATTTGGGGGTAGGAGGACTTAGTCTGGGGTCAGGGAATGTGTAAGGATTTCTTGGGGTGGCTGTGACACATGACCTCTGACTGTGGCTTAAAACAGCAGAGGGGTATTCTCTCACCGTCAGGGAGACACATGTCAGAAACTGAAGTGTCATCAGGGCCATGGTCCCTGTAGACACTGGGGGAGGACTTTGCTTACCTTTCCTCACTTGTGGAGCCCCAGGCACTGCTTGTCATCTTTGGGCTGTGGCTACATCACCCAGTCTCTGCCTCTGCCTTCCCTTGGCCCTCCCTTCATGTGAGTTTGTGTCCCAGTCTCCCTCTCCTTTCTTCTGTTTAGAACCAGTCACTGGGGCCAGGCGTGGTGGCTCAGGCCTGTAATCCAAGCACTTTGGAGGCCATGGCGGGCGGATCACCTGAGGTCGAGAGTTCAAGACCAGACTGACCAACATGGTGAAACCCTGTCTTTAAAAAAAGAAATGAGGAAAAAAAGAACCAGTCACTGGATTTAGAGCCCCTCAGTCCAGCATGATCTTAACTTGATTATCTCTGCAAAGAGCCTATTTCATGGGAACACATCTCAGTCCCCTACAGAAGCAAGCGGTGTTGGAGTTGAGAGCGGCTGATGGGCTGTGAGCAGTGAGGAGCTGTCCAGGGAAGGGTGTTGAGGCTGGCAGCGTGTGGAGGCCAGGATGCCACCTTGGAAGGCCTGAGGCTGGGTGGCTGGGGCAGAGAGTGCGAGGGACGCCTGCTGGCCTCCTCTGAGGTGGCGCCTTTCTCAGGGCTCGGTTTGTTGGCCGTCAGATGTTCCAACTGGGCTGTGTTCAGCCTCAGAGTTTATAACTGTGTTTCTGGGCCAGGTTCGGTGGCTTGTACCTGTAATCCCAGCACTTTGGGAGTCTGAGGTGGGCAGATCACGAGATCAGGAGTTGGAGACCAGGCTGGTCAACGTGGTAGAACCCCGACTCCACTACGAATACAAAAATTAGCCGGGCATGGTGGTACGCACCTGTAATTTCAGCTACTCAGGAGGCTGAGGCAGGAGAATCACTTGAACCCAGGAGGTGGAGGTTGCAGTGAGTGGAGATTGCACGACTGCACACCAGCCTGGGTGACGGAGTGAGACTGTCTCAAAAAAATCTGTCATCACCTTTCCATTTGTAAACAGGAAACTACTTTGCTTCACACTTTTTCATGGGAGGAGAGAAATTCGACACCCCTCACCCTGAAGGTTACCTCTTTGGAGAGAACATGGATCTGAACTTCCTGGGCAGCCGCCCGGTCCAGGTGGGTGTGGACAGGGCTGGCTCGTGGGGCTTCGGGTTGAGGGGAGGCCCCTGGCCCCAGCAGTCCCAGCATGAGGGCAGACAGGCACCAAATCACCCCTAAACAGGGCAGAGCTCCTGGCAGGATTCCTGTTGAGCTTGGGTGTGGGCATGTGACCTGGAATGGGTTGTGTTCTGGCGCTGTTCCTTAGAGGCCAGACGGCCAGGGGCAGGTCACTAAGAAACAGAGCAGCCATGTTGAACTGGTGTATTTGGGCTGCAGGGGATGCAGAACATTAGGGATTTGATTCCAGGCCTCTTGGGTGACTTTCTCTAAAAAGAAAAAGGAGTATTTACAGGCTGGGCGTTAACGGCTTACACCTGTAATTCCAGCACTTTGGGAGGCTGAGGTGGGCAGAACTCCTGAAGTCAGGGGTTTGAGACCAGCCTGGTAAAATGGTGAAACCTTGTCTCTACTGAAAAATAAAAATAAAAAACAAAATTAGTTGGGCATGGTGGTATGTGCTTGTAGTACCAGCTAATCGGGAAGCTGAGGCAGGAGAATCACTTCAGCCTGGGAGGTGGAGGTTACAGTGAGCCGAGATTGTACCACTGCATTCCAGTGACGGCGACAGAGGGAGACTGTCGTAAATAACAAAAAAAAAAAAACCACAATATTTATTTTCCCTGGAACAGTAGGCAAGAGACATTATGGTCCAAAGTAGAGATGCAGACAGGTGGCGAACATCTTGCTCTCGTTGCCAGAGGAGGGCACATTCGAGTACAGCTGTTCATTTGTTTAGCGCACATTGGCACCTGCTGTATGCCTAGTGCTCTTCCAGGGGATGGGGTGAAGGCAGAGCCTGCCTCCACTACCCAGTGGGGATGTAGACAGTTAACACAGGACAGATGGGTAGAAGAGAGAAAGGGCAGAAAGGGAGGCTCCACTGCAGAGGCCGTGGCTGAACTAAGTGTGATAGGTGGGAAGGCGGGTCTCTCCAGGAGGAGCAGGGGGCAGGGGGCCTGGGAACGGAGGAGGAGGCGGCGAGAGGGTGCAGGCATAGGGACAGGAGGCCGGAGAAGCTGGTAAATGTCAGGTAAATTCCTCTGAGGATGGAATGGGTGTGGCCGGAGGAAGGGGCTGAAGTTGCTCGGAGCCAGTAATAGATGTGGGAAGCGTGGGAGAGCAGGATGGGGACGGGCGGCCTGAGTGTGCCGGAATTGGGCCTTGAGGCCGTGTGGCCGGATTTGCTCAGAGTGGTTTAGTCCTGGCTGTTGCATGTGCTGGCCATGTGGCCTGCAGCTTCCATCTGTAAATGAGGACAGTGCGCCTGGCACAGCCCCTCACATGGGGATGAGAGCCCAGGGATACCCGTTGGGGCTGTGGCTGCTGTGCCCCGACCTGTTTTCTGTCCGAGGGAGTCACCTGGGGCCCTGTGGTTTCCCTCCTAGTTTCCCTACGTCACTCCCGCCCCCCACGAGCCAGTGAAGACGCTGCGGAGCCTGGTGAACATCCGCAAAGACTCCCTCCGGCTGGTGAGGTAACCTTTGCCCTGCCCCTAGGGACCCTGAGGCTCTGTGGGGCACAGCCTGGGGTAGAGGTTCTGGCTTGACGCTGGAGGAAAAGGGCAGGTGGGAGGGGCCCCAGTCTCTCTGCCCTCTCTCAAGTGGAATCAGAGGTTACCTGCGGCTGACAGGAAAGCGTCTGTGGAACAAGAGCCGTTCAGCCAGTGCTTCTTAGCTGTGCTGCTCAGGGACACTGCGTGGTGTCTGGAGGCAGCCGGGTGGGGTGCCCTGGCATCTCAGGTTGAGGACAAGGGTGATTCAGACTTCCTGCCACGCACAGGGTGGTCCCAACAGCCAGGAATGATCCAGCGCCAGATTTCAGTAGGTTCAGAAACTGCTTAAAGGCATCTGGGCTGTGTCTGAACCAAGAGCATGCACCCCTTTTTCTGCGGGCAGGAAGGAGGAGAGGCAAGCCCTGGACCTTTGGGCTTTCATATCCAAGTAGGAAACGGCCCCCATGTCAACTGAAGAAGCGGGCGGTGTCCACAAACCTGCCTACACGAACTCTCAGCCTCTCAGGGCAGGGATGGTCTTCTCGAATGTGGCCGCTGACCCGCTGCCTGTCTCCCCACTGCCTTGGGTAGGTACAAAGACGACGCCGACAGCCCCACTGAGGATGGCGACAAGCCCCGGGTGCTCTACAGCCTGGAGTTCACCTTTGACGCTGATGCCCGCGTGGCCATCACCATCTACTGCCAGGCGTCGGAGGAGTTCCTGAACGGCAGGGCAGTGTGAGTCCACGGGCGGCTGGCACCGGCCAGGCTGGGGGCCCCGGACTCCCATGGGAGGCTTCTCTCTGCTTCACTAACCAGAGGGAGAAAAGCAAACCGTGCTCTCTTAACATACTCCCAGGACTTTACCGTGATGTGAGGGGCTTCTCCCTCCCCAGGGACTCCCCATTTCTCTGCGGGAACCAGCTGGGATCCTGTGACGTGTTTCAGTTCTGACGCTGCCTGGAGTTCTTGCAGCCCCGCATGTGGAGGGCGCAGTCCCACAAGACTGCCCCACTTCAGATGCCGGTCATAAGCCCCCACTGTCGCCTGTACTTCTCACCAACCAGCCATGCATCAGGGCTCCCACAGCCCACTCCTCCGGCTTGATCAGTTGCTACAGTGGCTCACAGGACCCAGGGAAGCACTTGGCTGATGTATGTTGGTTGATTGTAAAGGATTCAGATGAAGAGTTTCACTGGACGAGGTGTGGGGGAAGCGGTAGGGTGTGCCACCTTCCCCGTGTTCAGCAACCGGAAAGTCTCTGGAAAACCCCGTATTACAGGGCCTTTTCTGGAGGTTTGATTATGTAGGCAGGACTGATGAGTAACTCCATCTCCAGCCCCTCTCCCCTCCCTGGAGGATGGGCCTGGGGATGAAATTCAGTTCCAGGTTTTTTTTCTTTTTTCTTTCTTTTTTTTTTTTTTTTTTGATATAGAATTTCCCTCTTGTTGCCCAGGCTGGAGTGCAATGGCACAATCTCGGCTCACCGCAGCTTCCACTTCCTGGGTTCAAGTGATTCTCCTGCCTTAGTCTCCTGCGTAGCTGGGATTACAGGCATGTGTCACCATGTCTGGATAATTATGTATTTTTAGTAGATATGGGCTTTCTCTGTGTTGGTCGGGCTGGTCTAGAACTCCTGCCCTCAGGTGATCCACCCACCCTGGCCTCCCAAAGTGCTGAGACTACAGGCACGAGCCACTGTGTCCAGCCCAGGGTTGTTTTGTTTTGTTTTGTTTTTTAAGACGGAGTCTCACTCTGCTACGAGGCTGGAGTGCAGTGGCACAATCTCGGCTCACTGCAAGCTCTGCCTACCGGGTTCAAGTGATTCTTCTGCCTCAACCTCTCTAGTAGTTGGGATTACAGATACGCGCCCAGCTAATTTTTTTGTATTTGTTAGTAGAGACGGGATTTTACCATGTTGGCCAGGATGGTCTTGATCTCTTGATCTCATGATCTGCCCACCTCGGTCTCCCAAAGTGCTGGAATTACAGGCGTGAACCACCCACCCGGCTGTGGCTTGGTCTTTCTGGCGGCCAGCTCCCTCCAGGAGCCACCGAGAGTCACCTCATTGGCACAGAAGACATTCCTATCACCCAGGAAATTCAAAGGGTTTGGAATTCTGTGTCAGGAGCAAGGATCAGAGACCAAATATGAGAGCAAAAGAGACTCCTAGAACCCCTGTCGCTCAGGAAATAACAAGGGTTTTAGAGGTCCCTGTGTCTGGAACTGGGACCGGGACTAAATATTTACTTTTACTGTCACAATTACATATTTGCGATTTCAGAGGTTTTATTTGAGATAAGCGTTCTTCTGGCCCTGAAAGTTTGAAACCTGCAACTTGAGCAGGAGCTGGCAGGACCACCTCCAGGCTGCCAGGGCACATCTGCAGTGAGTGACTTTAGGGACAGGCAGGAGCCTTTCCCCCCAACCCCCTGCCTTCCTGCATTGGAGCAGACTGCTCAGTGGTCAGCTTTGCATCTGGGGATAGGGTGTGGCTGAGAGCCTTGGCTTTGAGTGCTATCCTGGCTGAGTGGCTCGGGGCACGTGACTGCTTGTGCCTCAGAGTCCTCAGCCGGAAATGTGGGAGGGTGGTGTGAGGAGGGGGTGATGTGTCTGTGCACAGCCCCTCTAGCGACTGGTGCTCATGAATGGAGCCTGAGTGCTCAGGTTGAGGGGCTGGTGGAGACAACTCAGGTGGGGCTTCTTAGGGAACATTCCGCCAGATGAGGCTTCCCCAGGGCTCTGGCCCTGGGCTTCTCAGCAGCCAGAGCTGCTCCTGTGGGCCAGCACTGGGGGAGGAACAGGTCCCTTCCTTTAGACTTTGTTCCTTGAGGCTCCACCTTGCCCCAGCACTTGATTATATTTCTTTTGAGACACCCGTAACGCATGCCTGTGTGCTATGGCAGGCATGGAATTCATGGGTATAGGAGCATTTGGAGTGACCAGGGCAGGCCCCTCTGTCCCCTCCTGCACCCCATTGGTTGGGGTTGAGTGTGTGACACCCCTGGGGCCTAGTGCCCTCCTCGGGGTTGGCTGACACGGTGGAGGAGCTGGGTTTCTGGGGAGGAGCTTGGGGGCTGCCACAGAGAGGGTGCAGGCTGAGGTCAGACAGGACAGTGTGACTGAGTGGCCGGCCCCTGCCCTGCCACACCGCAGCTGTCAGGCCTTGGATGATTGTTTTGGATGAGCTCAAAGAGAAGGTTCTGCTGCCACCAAAAAGGCTAGAGAGAGCAGAGAGGACGTCCTGCCGGCCTGGCTGCTATCACCCTGTCCTAGACCCCTGGGGGCCAGTGATGAGAGAAATGCCACAGTCCCCCTCTCAGGACCTGGCACGAGACCTGCTTCCCCTCCCAGCAGGGATCACAGAGCAGGAGCAGCTCCAGTACCTGGAGGCCTTGCCCAGGCACGTGAACCCCATCCAGCCTGCCAGTGGTCCATCATTGGAGCAGCAGGGCAAACCCCCCTCCCTGCCTCCTGACAAGAAAACAGGCTCAGGCAGAGGGGTGCGTCCAGGACTCCTCAGCTCACAGGAGAAGTCCGGGGTCTGCCTGAGGGCGGTTCCCTAGCTGTGCCTTTTACTGAGGCTGATCCTGGGCCTCCCCTGTAGTGCCGCCTCCCACGCTGGGCTCTGGAGGCCAGGGCAGGCTTCTTCTGCCTTTGTGTGTACGAGGTGCCCGCCTCCACCCTCCAGGGGCAATCTGTGGGTCTCTGCCGGGGTGGAGCGCAGGCCGGTGGAAGTAGGCGTGAGGGTTGGGGAAGGAGCATTTTGCACTGTGTGTACCTAAGGACCGTGTTGATTGAAAATTTAACAAACTCAAGCAGGGTGCATTGGCTCACGCCTGCAATCCCAGCACTTTGGGAGGCCGAGGTGGGTGGATCACTTGAGGTCAGGAGTTGATGGCCAGCCTGGCCAACATGGTGAAACCTCTTCTGTACTAAAAATACAAAAATTAGCCTGGCATGATGGCACACATCTGTAATCCCAGCTACTCGGGAGGTTGAGGCAGGAGGATCACTTGAACTCAGGAGGTGGAGGTTGCAGTGAGCCAAGATGACGCCGTTGTACTCCAGCCTGGGCAACAGAGCAAGACCCTATCTCAAAAGAAAAAGCAAACAAACTTAGCACCCCGTGGAGGAAAGGAAAAGCACAGCCATCTCTGGGGAGACAGTACAGGGATTGGACAGGTGTGGGCTCTGGAAGAATTGTAGCCAGGCCTGACCTGGGCAGAGCTGCGTGGTGAGCAAAGAGGCCGTGGAAGGCCCTGGAAGGGTGAAGGCCATGTGGCCGTGTAGGCTGTTTGCTGTCCCCCACAAGAGAGAGTCTCCAAAATACAGGTGTCTCCAGCCCTGCCGACTGTCAGAGTGGGAGGGATAGGCGCAGGAGAGTCTTTGCTCTGCCGTGTTCTCACTGCCTGCTCCTGGCTCCCTGCAGATACAGCCCCAAGGGCCCCTCGCTGCAGTCTGAGACCGTCCACTACAAGAGAGGGGTGAGCCAGCAGTTCTCCCTGCCCTCCTTCAAGATCGACTTCTCGGAGTGGAAGGATGACGAGGTAATCCTGGCGGGGCTCCTTCTTGCCGTTTGCCCCTTCTCCCGAATTTTCTCCTCTTGGGGGTGGGGCCAGCACGTCTGGGTTTCTCCGGGTTCGTAAGCCCGGGAATGGCTGCCCCAGTCTGTGTGCTCAGGCAACGTGTGGATAGACTGGAATGAGGCCTGGGCTGTGTGCTGGCTGGGCCAGGGGACCAGAGGCCGACCAGGCAGCTGCACTCAGAGGCTCGGACATTGGGCTGCTTTTGGGAGGCATGAGGAACGGGACTCCCTCCTTTCGGCTGTAGTAGTGCAGGGTCTGTTCACACCAGGTGGTGTCCCTTCAAGCTTTTTACCTTTTCTTTGCTTAAAATCTTGGTGCAGGTGTATTTTGAGACGGAGTCTTGCTCTGTCACCCAAGCTGGAGTGCAGTGGCATGATCTTGGCTCACTGCAACCTCTGCCTCCTGGGTTCAAGGGATTCTCCTGCCTCTGCCTCCCAAGTAGCTGGGACTATAGGCGAATACTACCACATCCAGCTATTTTTTTTGTATTTTTAGTAGAGACAGGGTTTCACTGTGTTAGCCAGGATGGTCTCGATCTTCTGACCTCGTGATCTGCCTGCCTCAGCCTCCCAAAATGCTGGAACTACAGGCGAGAGTCACCATTCCCAGCCAGAGCTGCAGACATCTTATAATGCGAGGTTTTGCAGGTTCCAGCTTGAGTGCCTGCCTTGCTAGTTTTCCCTCATAGGCCCTGCTCCAGCTTTCCGTCAGAGCTGTGTGCTTCCCCCTTTGCCATGTTTCCCAGCATCCATCTGGTTTGCAGCTTGCAAAGACCCTGGTCCGGGGGCTCCTGTGTAACCGTAGTCCTTGTGGGTCCCATGTCCGAGGCCAGGAGGAGATGTGGACCACATGCCCTCTTAAGTGAGCGGACTTATACTGGGGCCTGTCCTGTAGCTCTCTTCCTGACCTGTACTCACTTTCCATAAAGAGCCTTGCTTGTGTTTGCATTAAAAATAAAACAAGCCCGGTGTGGTGGCTCTCGCCTGTACTCCCAGCACTTTGGGAGGCCAGGACCCTGAGACCAACCTGGGCAAAACCCTGTCTCTATGAAAAATAAAAAAATTAGCTTGGTGTGGTGGTATTCCCCTGCAGTCCGAGCTACTGAGGAGGGAAGATTACCTGAGCCTGGGAGATGGAGGCTGCAGTGAGCCATGATAGTGCCACTGTACTTCAGGCTGGGTGACAGACTGAGACCCTGTCTCAAAAGTAAAAGTACTTGGGATTGGGGGACCACCAGGTTGTCTAAGAAGGGGTCAACTGGCCCAGGTTGGGAACTGAGCAAGTCAGAACCTCCCATGCTGATCCGTAGTGTGATTGCGCCTGCGAATAGCCACTGCACTCCAGCCTGGACAACATAGTGAGACCCCGTTTCTTAGCAGGAAAAAAACAGTAAAATTAAACATCTCCCCAGACTCCTTGGGTGGGCGGAGTCTCTGTCTTCTCCTGGCATCACCAGTGCCGGCCTCACACCCTGCTCTCATGTTTGAATGTGGGTGCTGTGTGGCCTGCGTGCCGAGCTCTGGGGAATGTGAGCTTGGGGTTGTCTGGGCTCCCTGTTAGTTTTCTTTTTTTTTTGAGGCGGAGTTTCGCTCTTGTTACCCAGGCTGGAGTGCAATGGCGTGATCTCTGTGCTCACTGCAACCTCCGCCTCCCGGGTTCAGGCAATTCTCCTGCCTCAGCCTCCTGAGTAGCTGGGATTACAGACACGCGCCACCACGCCCAGCTAATTTTTTGTATTTTTAGTAGAGACGGGGTTTCACCATGTTGACCAGGATGGTCTCGATCTCTTGACCTCGTGATCCACCCGCCTGGGCCTCCCAAAGTGCTGGGATTACAGGCTTGAGCCACCGCGCCTGGCCGGCTCCCTGTTAGTTTCATGTTCCCTGGGGCCCCTCCCCGAGTCCCTCTGGGGAGCCCCAGCCTTGGTGCCCCGTGAGCTGTGGGTTTACAGATGAGGTGGCCGGGGGAGGGGAGTGGTCACTGTGGCCAGCTTGCTGAGGAGTTGAGGTGCTCAGGGCCCAGAGAGAGTTGGGACCACAATGCCCCCAGTTGTCCCACCTCTGTCCCGGACTTGGCACTGGACCCACCAGGGGACCTTTGGTAAGGGTTTGCTAAGGAAGCTGAATGAGGGCCCGTGTGCTGCATAGCCCTGGCTGGTCAGCCACCATGGACGGCCATGCGGAGAGTCTGCGTGTCAGGGACGGCTCCTGCTGTGAGGCCTTCAAGGTGGGATCCTTGTCAGGACTTACGTGGGTGTAAGTGGCAGAAAAACACTCCGTCTGGTTTAAGAAAAGAAAACCAGGGGCTTTTTGTATAAGAGAAGGCTGGGTGGGTGGCCTGAGGCTTGGGTCTCTGTTGCTTAGCCTCCCACCTCCCGCAGCTGCTCTTAGCCAGTGCCCTGCAGGCCAGCACATGGCCATCCTGCTGGATCCGGAGGTGCTTGGAGGCCATGCGCCTTCTCTTTGTGACCCAGCTTGGGGCAGGAGCCTCCCGTCCTGCAGCCAAGCCATAGAGACTTGGAGTAGGAGGGAGACGCTTCCCTGAGGAGAACCTGAGGTGCTCAGATGCTTGGCCAGGCCTGGCTTAGCATCAAGAGCACAGCTGCAAGGACAGGTCATGGGGTGCCCAGGGTGGCTACGCTGGCCCTGCGTAGGAGCAGGGAGGATATGCGTGGAGGGGATGGGGGCCCACTTCGGTTCTGCTGCTTTCTCTCTATAGAGTGTTGGGCCAGTTCTGTGGCTCTGGGAGCCTGGGTTTGCCTCTCTGTGAGCTGGGGCTGGAAGCAGTCCCTCTCAGCGTGGCCATCAGGGGTCCGTGATCGGCGTGCAAAGGGCTTACCCGCCACTGCCCACCATAAACCCCAGTCTGCCAGCCAGAGAGCGGGAGAGAAGGCTAAAGCCACTGCCACACATGCCTCCCCAGACCATTAGTTTTTATTCCATGACAGCAAAGCGCAGCTGTCAGCACCGAGTTTCTGCAGTGTGATGAGAAGAAAACACAGCTCACTCAGAGGCTCCTCAGAGCAGAGAGTGGCCCACGACGGTGCTGAGGTGCTGGCTGCACAGATGCATTCCAGGCTTGGGCAGAAGCTTGGGGGTGGGCAGGAGTGTGGGGGTGGGCGAACTCCATAGAGCTCTGACTCCTCTGTCTGGCTCTATCACCTAAAGGAGCGGCTGCTGGCGTGTGAACTCCCCCTTCCCATGCTGAATGACATCCCTTGTGGCAGCAGCGTGGGAGCGTTGCCAGGCAACCCTGGGACGATAGCTCCTGCACAGACTCAGTGGAGTGGGCAGGAAGCAGGCTCATAAGAGGTGATAGTCTCACACGATCAGCCCCTGACAGTCATCTCAGACCAGGGAAGGGAGTGTCCCTCCTTCTGGCACCTACCTCCCTGAAGCCTTTTTTTCTCTTTTTTTTGAGACACGGCCTCCCTCTGTCTCCCAGGCTGGAGCGCAGTGGCACGATCACTGCTCACTGCAGCCTCAAACTCCTGGGTTAAGCAAGGCTTGAGCAGTCCTCCCACTATGGTCTTCCAGAGTATTGGGATTATAGTCAGGAGCCCCCGTGTCGCGTCCACCATCCTGCCACCTTCTGATGTCTGTGGCCCAGAATTGGCCTCCTTGGGCACCTTTCTGCACCCTCCAGCCCCCTCCTGGAAGAGACTGGGTCGGCTCCTGTTACCTGGACACACAGGGCTTCAGGTCACTGGTGTTGACTGTGTGCTTTGCCAGCCACAGCACTTGGAGCCTTGCGTTAGGCATGGCTTCCATTCCATTTTTCCAAATGGAGAAACTGAGGCTCAGGTGGGGCCTGTTTGTAGTGAATGGGTGAGGAGCTGGACTGGACATCAGCAGCCTTGACTGGCTCTGGGCCAGTGCCCTGCCAACTCCTGGCTCCCCCTTCCTCACTAATAGAGACCACAGCACTCACATCCTTTACAGCACAGACCCCAGCACCAGTGTCTCTGTCCACCTTTGTCTACGTGTATATTGGTATCCATTATCCATCCCACAGGCCATGTAGCCAGAGCCTGTGACCCTCCCTCATGAGATGTATGGCCTAGGCCCGCGTGGACTTAAGTCTCCAGGTTTGTGGCTTGTTGAGCTGATGGCTGCCTGCCCAGGGCTTCTTGCGTGGATGGGTTAGGTGTACCATTCATTCTGGTCAGAATGGAATTCTTAGTTCCAGATGGCAGGAAGCTGTAGTAGCCATGTGCCAGGCGCCTGTGGGTGTGGAATCCCTGCTGGGCGGGGACATGCCTGGGAGCGCCTGGGAGCTGCCAGCCTTTCCCCTGTGTCCACGTAGCCTCCCCGGTTTGCATTCGGGCACTTTGCTGATACCGATGTTTCTCCCAGTCCCCTTCTCCCGACTGATCTCTCTGGTCTGCTGTAACTCCTATCTCCTTGTCTGTATTTTTTGGTAGGAAATTCGATGTGTTTCTAAATCTTAGGAAGAAACATTTCCCTCTGTTCCTTAAATAACAGTAATATTTGGCCTAGAGCAGTGACTCACGCCTGTAATCCCAGCACTTTGGCAGGCTGAGGCAGGCAGATCACTTGAGGTCAGGTGTTCAAGACCAGCCTGGCCAACATGGTAAATTTAGCTAGATGTGGTGTTGGGCACCTGTAGTCCCAGCTACTTGGGAGGCTGAGGCAGGAGAATTGCTTGAACCTGGGAGGTGGAGGGTTGCAGTGAGCCAAGATTGTGCCACTGCAGTCCAGCCCGGGGGGCAGAGCAAGACTCGGTCTCAGAAACCAAAATAATCATAATAGTGTTATTCACAACAACCGTAGCAATTACCATAGGCAGTGTCTCTGTGCTGGGTCTGTTGAGAGGACTTCATTTGCACTTTGTCCTGGAAACCCGTGTAGTAGCGCAGTAATGACCCCATTTTACAGGGAAGGAAGCTGAGGCTCAGAGGTAGGAGGACCTGAGATGATGAAAGTCACCCGGGCCACTGGGGTGGGGAAGTGTCCCCCTGCCCTGCTTCTGCTGCCCCCTTCACCAAGGGGCAGCAGGGAAAGGGAGACATCATGTGTGTCTGCTGGTTCTGAGCATCTCCATTCAGGGGCGGGGCCTTGGCCTTGGGCTCAGGGTTCCCATGTGCTGGGCCAGGAGCAGTCCGACCCGGATGTCCATGGGGGTGTTTGCTGCAGACATGGAGGGGCCGGTCCTCTGTGCGTGGGTCTTGGTCAGTGAGGCCTGTGGTCAGGCTCAGGCGGCAGGATGCTCTGCCCCAACCCATCTGCCCTTGCCTGGGCTGGGCCTGCCAGGTGCTGCCTCTTTGATGTGTCATCCACTTTTTTTCTTTTAACACCTTTATTGTGTTGTAATTCACATGTCCTAGAGCTTACTCATGTTGTGTGCGATTTGCTGGCTTTTAGAGTATTCACTGTGGTATAGCCAGCATCCATTCTTTCAGTAAATCTTTATTGAGAAATAAATGACTTTTTTCCTCCCGGAATAAACAAATGCACGTGTCCATTGCTTTTCTGTGCCAGACTCCGAGGATGTTACAATGACTACAGAGGCAGGGTCCCCACCCTCCATGGAGCGAGTCAGGGAGCCTGAGGGTGGCCGGTGGCTTTCCTGGTTGCCAGGGTATGAGTGATAGAAGCCCAAGGGCCAAGTGATTCCTGAGGCTTAGAGGACTTGGCTGGCAGGGGGCAGTGCGGGGGAGCAGGGCTCGGAGTGGATGGTGCTGTGCTGGACCGGCTACTGGGGCCCTGGGGGCCTGCGGAAGAGGGTGGCCTTCAGCCTGTGCGCAGCCGGGGGTGGGATGAAAGCAGTAGGAGGCTTCTCTTTGAACTCAGGTCAGCCTCATGGTCTCCTTCACTTGCCTTTAGTTTTTGCTGGGGCCAAGTCAGGCACCTTCTTCAGAAAGTTACAGGGAGTCGCCCCGTGACCAGCACTTCCCCTCCGAGGCACCCACCCAGGAGAACTGAAAACCGAAAATGCTCGGGAACCCAAGTCCCACTGAGCGCTGCTCACTGTAGCTAGGGTGCAGGGGCGGCTCGGCGTCCATCACAGAGCAGCGCATGCCCAGCATGTGGCTGTTCACACAGCGCCTGTTACTTGGCCAGAAAAAGGAAAGCGGCACTGGTATGTGCTGCAGCGTGGGGGAACTTCGAAAACACACCTAGACGCAGGAAGTCACCTACTGTGCGATTCTACGTAAATGACATGTCTGAAAATGGCAAATCCCTGGAGACAGGAAGCATGTGGTGGCTGCTGGCGGCTGGACGGGGAGTGTGTGGGGGCTGACGGCTGCGCCTGGGGTTTCTGTTTGGGATGATGAAAAGTTCTGGAAATGGACGGTGGCGGTGGCATGACATTACAGATGTTCTTTACTCAACACTGTTGAATCGTGATTAAAATGGCAGATTTTGTGTTATATCTGTTTTAACATACACATAAAAAAGGTGCCAGGCCCAGCATCCGCCTTCCCTGCCATTTCGAGGCGTGTCCTCTGAGCTCTGCCACCGCCGCCTGCTCCTGCCGCTCCCTCCAGCTCAGCTGCCAACCGACTCCAGGCTTCCAGGCTTGGCTGTGTGGGTCCTGACCCTTCTTGCCAACTCTCTCCTCAGCTGAACTTTGACCTGGACCGGGGCGTGTTTCCAGTGGTCATCCAGGCTGTGGTGGACGAAGGAGACGGTGAGCGCATCCTCTTTTGTCCTCCTGGGTGTGTGGGCTGTGTGGCGAGGAAGTGCATCCTGAGGCCCCTGTCACTCAGTTGGTGGGAGGAGCGCCTGCAGCAGTGATGAAGCAGGCCAGGCGTAGGGCATTGGGCTGGGGCAGCTTGGAGTTCGGGGGTTGGAGGAAGGTGGGTCCCAGAACAGGCTCTGGACTCTCTGGACTCTATGCAGGCCAAGCCTTGGGTGCCACAGTCCTGCCAGAGTTGGGGAGGTGAGATGCCTGGGTGGGGCAGACCCTGACTCTGACTGCTCTGCCCCTCTCTCCCCAGCAGTGGTGGAAGTGACCGGCCATGCCCACGTGCTCTTGGCCGCCTTTGAAAAGGTGAGTGCCATCTGGCGGTCAGCTTCCTGGGGACCTGGGAGCTGGGGAGGAGGTGGTCTTTTGAGGTGAGAAGCTTGAGCAGTGGTTGGGGCTTGGTGGAGTGGCTGAGCTCGGGCCCAGGGCAGGTGGGGGGCGTGCCTGGGGCTTCCTGCTTTCTGTAAGTCTGGTCCCAAGGCAGAGCCACTGTCAGGAGGCTTTGCATCTGCTCCACCCGCCCCACTATCTCCAGTAATGGCTATAAGCAATTTTTTTTTTTTTTTTTTTTTTTTGAGACAGGGTCTCACTCTCTCACCAGGCTGGAGTTCAGTGGCATGATTTTGGCTCACTACGGCCTCTGCCTCCGTGTTCAAGTGATTCTCCGTCTCAACCTCCCGTCAGTACCCGGGAGTACAGGCACGCGCCACCACTCCTGGCTAATTTTTGTATATTTATTAGAGATAGGGTTTCACCTTGTTGGCCAGGGTGGTCTCAAACTCTTGACCTGAAGTGATCCACCTGCCATGGCCTCCCAAAGTGTTAGGATTATAGGCGTGAGCCACTGGGCCTGGCCTCTTTTTAAAAAAACAAAACAAAACAAAACAAAACAAAACAGGGTTTCCTGTTGCCCAGGCTGGAGGGCTGTGGTGTGATCTCAGCTCACTGCAGCTTTGAGCTTCTGGGCTTAAGAGACCCTCCCACATCAGCTTCCTAAGTAGCTTGAACTACAGGCATGCACCACCACATTTGGCTAATTTTTAAAAAAAAATTTTTGTAGAGAGAAGTTCTCTCTGTGTTGCTGAGGCTGGTCTCAAACTCCTGGCCTCAAGTGATCCTCCCACCTTGGCCTCCCAATATGTTGGGATTACAAGCGTGAACCACCATACCCGGGCAAGAGGCTTTTCAAATGGCACTTGGAGTGTGTCGAGGGAGAATGTTCTAGACTGAGGCCAGCCCTGTAGAATTCTTTAGAGCCTCCTGACATAGGGGCTGGGCTCCCGCAAGGAGGCCTCCCTGTGGTAGACTGACTTCCTCATGGGGTGTGATGACAACAGTAAGCTCACTGTCCTCGGTGTCACCTGGCATGTGTCACAGAACCCCAGTCCTACTGCCCCTTCTCCTACCTGGCTGTGGAACCCTGACCCTACAGGCGAGGCAGGCCTTGCTCCCTACAGGAGGCCTTTCCTGATGCCACTAAGGAGAAACATCTCTTGTACCCACTTTATGTTCATGAGGGCAGCACTGTCCTCTTGGGTGTCATGGTGTCCTCAGAGCTGAGTTTAACACCTGGCACGGAGCAGACACTCCGGGAACACTGGCAGGATGGTTGAGGGGCTGCTGCCTGCCTGGGTTTCTGCTCACTGAGAACTTGCTGGAGGTGGTGGGATGCGTCTTTGTTTGGTAGTGCCTTGGGGGCCACGCCCCCAGCGTGCCCTGACATTCGTCAGCACTTCGCAGTTGCAGGTCTGCTTGGCACCAATCCTGCAGCCCAGGAATCAGGAGGGGAAAAGGATCCCATGAGATAAGGCCAGCCTGCCTCCTGGGGGCTTCACGCTGCCTCTGGGTCCTGCTTAGCCCATGCTCTCCATGCACCCCCAGCCCCATGTGCAGCTGCAGCCTGAGAGCTCTAAGTGCAGAGTCCAGCTCTTCCCTGTGATCTGGGTCTTCGCAGAGCATCCCAGGGCCAGGGTGTCTGTAAGCTGGATAGAGGCACCTTTCATCTGTCTGTCCTGTGACGAGGCTGAGTCTGTCCTCTCCTGGGTCCAGGACCACAGACTGTGGTGATACAAGTTTCCTGGGCAGCGGGGCAGCCTTCTCTGTTTTTAGCACTGGGCTCCCCAGCCTGGCCTCATAGGAAGCCACAGTGACTACTGACACATCTGTGCCTCTGGCAGAGGCAAACAGGTGGTCTCTGGCAAAATGGTCCATTCTGTGCCTCCAGTTTCCTATTAGGAAACTGCTTTATTTTGGGGTGGCCAACATTCTGGAAATTTCTGTTAGAACCCACCAGCCTCACCAGAAAATTCTGAGTGCTGGTCATGGTTGACTGAGAAGTGATGATAAGTGTTGTTGTGAGGTCTCCTGTCTCACGCCGTGATTAACTTTGTTGAACTCTTGAGTGGCGTATTTCCCTGGGTACCACCGGGCGCACTTGTTCTGCTTGGTTCCTGCATTTCTGGAGCTCTGCACTTTGCTGTGTGCATGTGTGTGTGTGTGCCCTGCTCTGTCTTCCTAGCTAAGCTGGGCCCTGGGAGAGCAGGAACTGGTTTGTCTTGATGTTTGCAGCCAGGTGCTGCTTCTTGGTGTGCAGCAGGCTCTTGTCCGTCATCTGAACTTGGCCTGTTGGCCTTCAGCTTGAACGTGCTTGAGACCAACTGAGAAGAGTTGGGTTCTGTGGGTCAGTACAGGGTTCCGCGTCTGTGTGTTTAGGAGGCTTCAGATAGTTGCAAAGCCAGGCCTGAGGGCTATGTTTGGAGAAATCTTGGCACTTCAGTTTTCAAGTGGCCCCATCTTTTTTTTTTTTTTTTTTTTTTTTTTCTGGCTGTGGACCTGGATTGGCTAGGGCAGGGTGGCCCACCCAGGCGGCTGCACAGGGGCGCTCAGAGGCGCCAGCTTGACTGCCTTAACCTCTGTGTCTTTTTCCCCTGCAGCACATGGATGGAAGCTTCTCTGTGAAGCCTTTAAAGCAGAAGCAAATTGTAAGTCATCCGATGAAATACGACCTGTTTGATTTAAAAGACACACACTCAGGCAGATCACAAGGTCAGGAGTTCGAGACCAGCCTGGCCAACATGGTGAAACCCTGTCTCTACTAAAAATACAAAAAGTAGCTAGCCAGGCATGGTGGCGGGTGCCTGTAGTCACAGCTCCCCAGGAGGCTGAGGCCGGAGAATTGCTTGAACCTAGGCAGTGGAGGTTATAATGAGCCGAGATCGTGCCACTGCACTGCAGCCTTTTGAGAGAGAAACTCTGTCTCAAAAAAAGAAACAAAACAAAAAACCTTCCTGTGCAGTCACTCACAGATACACTCATAGGCACTCATGAATACACACGCATACACAGACACATTGACTTATGTAAGATATACAAATACATAGCCTTTTGAGAGCAAAACTGTCTCAAAAAGCAGATATACATAGACACAGGCAGATTCAGACACAGACACAAATACACTTACACACACACACATATATACTTAGACACGCTGACATACAGACATATCCATAGACACGCATTCACACACATGTACTCATAGATAACACATATACTCACACATAGACACATACTAATACGTAGACACACATTCACTTGCACACATGTACACAGGCACACACTCATACACAGATACACACACATATACATAGACACATACATACACACACTCACACTCTTGAGTAGTCTTCGTGCACTGGTCTTCCTAGTCCACTGTGGCTGCCTTTGAAATAACTGTGCAGAGGCCAGGCACAGGCACTCCCACCTCTAATCCCAGCAATTTGGGAGGCTGAGGTGGGCAGATCACTTGAGCCCTGGAGTTTGATACCAGCCTGGCCAACATGGTGGGACCTCTGTCTCTACTAAAAAAAAATTAGCCAGGTGTAATAATGCATGCCTCTAGTCTCAGCTACTCAGGAGGCTGAGGTAGAAGAATCGCTTGAACCCAGGAGCGGAGGTCACAGTGAGCTGAGATCATGTCATTGTACTCCTGCCTGGGTGACAGAATAAGATTCTGTGTCAAAAAAAAAAAAAAAAAAAGCTGTGCAAGAGCCTGTTAACTTCCTGTAGAGCTCCAAGCTCCAGCACGTCGGGTCCCTGTCTTGGGGGAGCATGTGTGTATTGTGTGCCCACCGTGTAGCAGGGACTCTTGCAGGCCCTGATTTCTGTCCAGTTTGAACCATGCTGTCTGGAGCGTACTGTTCAGTAAGTATGTACTGAATAAATGGATGGGTAGAAAAAGGAAGGAAAGAGACAGGAAACGGAAAGGCTGCAGCTCCTTCTCTCCCTTACGAATTGTCCAGTATGTCAGTGTTGGACAGAAACTTGGCTTGACTTAATACTTGAAAAGAAGGATAAAATAACCTAGAATAAATGGAAACTAGAGACCAGTCCATCTATTCTCTGGGGTCAGTAATCCTGGGATGCTGCATTGGGAAGTGTTATTCCTGGTAGCCTCACATGTAGGCACTGAGAATTTAGAGGGTGGTGTCCCCTAAACAGCAGCGTTAGGGCTTGCTAATGAGGCGTCCTGTGCCGTGGCTAGCAGTTACCCTGTGTGTACTGCTGGGGCACATAAGGCCCGTTTCAAGCCACCACTTGGGAATGATTTTTGTTAGCTTTTTAGTTATATTTTATTTAATTTTATATATTATTTTAATTTTGTTTTATTGAGACAAGACAGAGTTTTTGCTCTGTCGCCCATTGCTGGAGTGCAGTGGTGTGATCTCGACTCACTGCAAACTCTGCCTCCCGGGTTCAAGCATTTCTCCTGCTTCAGCCTCCCAAGTAGCTGGGACTACAGGCACGTGCCACCACGCCTGGCTAATATTTGTGTTTTTAGTAGAGAGGAGGTTTTGCCATGTTTGCCAAGCTCGTCTCAAACTCCTGGCCTCAAGTGATCCACTGGCCTCAGCCTCCCAAAGTGCTGGGATCACAGGTGTGAGCCACTGCGCCCAGCCATTTGTTAGCTTTTTAGAAGAGAGGTTATCTGGGTGTGGCGGCCATGCCTATTATCCCAGCACTATGGGAGGTGGAGGCAGGAGCATTGCTTGAGCCTGGGGATTTGGGACCAGCCTGGGCAGCATAGGGAGACCCCGTCTCTGTTTCAAATAAAGATTACAATAAACAAAAGAGAGGTGTAGCAAACTGTAGCAGATCCAGGTTCCTACAGGTGCCAGGGGAACAGGAGACCCTGGTGACGGACAGGGCCTTGTGTTAAGAGAGCTGCCCAGCAGGTCCTGGGCTCCCTGGAGTGGTGCTCCTGGCCTGTGGTTCATGGGAAACTCAGCAGTTCGGACCCCTTTGCAACATGGTCAGTATGAGGCTTTCCAGTTGCGAGTGGGCAGCAGGACAGACCAGCTCGGAGACATTGTCTTGGTGTCTTTGAAACCAGAGAGACTTTTGTGTCCTGTGGAAGGAGGCTCTGGAAAGCAGTGGGCGCTTAGGCTGCTGTCTGGTGCCTTCAGGCATTGGCTCCCGCTGCCCTCATGGGGCTGATGGCGGTGGAACCGAGTGGTGTTGGGGGTAGTGAGGCAGGCAGGGGGTGGCGGTGGGGCTGGTGAGTTGGTCCCAGGCCCTCAGTGTTGGGGAGAACCACTGGCTCCAGCCCTGTTCCTGGTGCTACTGGTTAGGTGGGGGCACACAGCAGGTTTTCCCTGACCCTCTCCTGGCCCTCAGGAGTCAAGCTGGACAGGTCCTTGGGGTGGAAGCCTGGTACCTTGGAGGGGGGCTAGGCCAGGTGGGTGTGGAGGAGCCCTCACATGACGGTTGGTGAGGGCCCAGTGAGCCCCTCTCTGCTCTCCAGGTGGACCGGGTCAGCTACCTCCTGCAGGAGATCTACGGCATCGAGAACAAGAACAACCAGGAGACCAAGGTGTGTACCTGGGTGAGGTTTCCCTCTGCCATTACAAAACCCTCGATGGGAGTAGCCGGGGGAGAGCGGCATACCAGTTCCCTTCCGTGCCTTCCTCTGGGGTCCTGGACCCCTAGATGCCATCAATTTTCCTTAATTTTGTCTTTTTAAAGCTAACAGAGTATATGGAACATTTTGTCTTTTTTCTAGCAAATTCACTGGCTTGTTAGGTAAATTGCCATCCAGGTCCCCCAGGGTAGCCTGGGAATGGGGGCCTGTGTCCCGCCCTCCCTCCAGGTTCAGCGGTTTGGCCCCTGCTGGCCAGTTCCTGCCTGCCTCCCCGCAGACAGCGAGTCCCTGCAGCTCCTGGGCGGGGGATGCCCATTCTGGATGTCCACAGAACCAGCCGTGGTACCTGACAAATTAGCCTTGGTATAGCCCAGCCAGGGAATGGAGCAGGGGATGAAATTAATTTTTGTTTTTGTTTTGAGACAGAGTCTCACTCTGTAGCCTAGGGTGGAATACAGCGGTGAGCCATTCTCCTGCCTCAGCCTCCCGAGTAGCTGGGACCACAGGCATGTGCCACCACACTTGGCTAATTTTTGTATTTTTGGTAGAGATGGGATTTCACCATGTTGGTCAGGCTGGACTCAAACTCCTGACCTCACGTGATGTGCCCACCTCAGTCTCCAAAGTGCTGAGATTTCAGACCTGAGCAGCTGCGCCTGGCCGATGATCTCGTTTAAAAGGCACACTGGCACGAGAGAAACTCCTGGCTCTTAAGATCTCGGAAAGCCTCACACGCCCGCTTCAGTGTGGCACCTGGGTCCAGGACAGCTGGAGCAGCTCCATGTGGCAGAAGCAGAGCTACTGGCTGGGCCTCGCCTCAGCCGGGGGCAATCAGTGCATTCACATTTCACACTAGAAGGTGGCCAACTTTCCAAAAAGGGCCAGAGAGTGAATGTTTTCAGCTGTCCAGGTTTGTGGTCTCTGTTGCAGCAACTCCATGCTGCCATTCAACAGGAGCAGCAGCGAAGGTATGGAAATGCGTGGGTGCGACAGTGTTGCAATAAGAATTTAGGGAAACATCCTGAGGGCCTAGTTTGTGGATCCCTGTTTTAGAGTTTTGGCTCTTTGTCCACTTGCTAATTTGATTTCTGGTAGCTGCCATTACTTAATGAAAATATTTCTAAAATGTGAACTGTAATTTTTAAACCAAAAATGAGGGTACCCTGACATTAGGAAGATCAGTTTCTCAGGTGGATCTCTCCCACATTTTCTCTTTGGGTCGGAGGAACAGAAGGAGACCATGTTCTCATGATGTGGTGGGTGAGGGGCACAGATCCTCCCCGCTGCTGGGAGCTAGTTTCACACTGCGTTTGAGCCTCGTGGTTCTGTTCTGGGGTAAACTACTCCTGCCTTCTGGATTTCTCTTCGTCATGAAAGCCGCAGGGCAGGGTGGAGTACGATGGGACAGATGGGGACAGGAAGCAGGAGCCCTGCTCTGGCCCTTGGGAGGCTGCCGACTCACAGGCCCTTGCTCCCCCCAGCCCTCTGACGACGAGAACAGCGACAACAGCAATGAGTGCGTGGTGTGCCTGTCTGACCTGCGGGACACGCTGATCCTGCCCTGCCGCCACCTGTGCCTCTGCACCTCCTGCGCTGACACGCTGCGCTACCAGGCCAACAACTGCCCCATCTGCCGGCTGCGTGAGTGCCCCGGCTGGCCGCTCTGTGGAAGGTTCTGGAAGTTAGGGACTGGCTGCATCACGGCAGTCCTGGGCTGGGGGCTGCAGGTCTCTTAGTCATTCGTCATTCATCCAGTCTGTGCAGAACGTGGGCACCTTGGATACCAGAGTCAGTTACCATGAGAGTTGGCAGGGACGCCAGCACGGGGCATTGAGATCTTCATGTCTGCCTCCAACCGGACAAGGCTTGCAGAACCAAGGGCCACAGAGGCGCTCCAGGGCAGATGCTATAGCAATATTTGGACTGAACGAAAATTGATCAGTGAATGAAATCTTTATTCTTGGTTTGTTTTTACTAATTTTTTTTTTTTTTTTTTTTGAGACAGTCTCACGCTATCACCCGAGCTGGAGTGCAGTGGCGAATTCTCAGCTCACTGCAACCGCTGCCTCCTGGGTTCAAGCGATTCTCCTGTCTCAGCCTCCCTAGTAGCTGGGGTTATAGGCACACACCACACCCAGCTAATATTTGTATTTTAGTGGAAATGGGGTTGTGCTATGTTGCCCTGGCTGGTCTTAAATTCCTGGCCTCAAGTAATCTGCCCACCTCAGTCTCTCAAAGAGCTGGGGTTACAGGCATGAGCCACCATGTCTGGCTGGTTTTTGTTTTGTTTTTTGTTTTTGTTTTTGTTTTTTTTTTTTTGAGACGGAGTTTCGCTCTTGTTACCCAGGCTGGAGTGCAATGGCGCGATCTCGGCTCACCGCAACCTCCGCCTCCTGGGTTCAAGCAATTCTCCTGCCTCAGCCTCCTGAGTAGCTGGGATTACAGGCACGTGCCACCATGCCCAGCTAATTTTTTGTATCTTTAGTAGAGACGGGGTTTCACCATGTTGACCAGGATGGTCTCGATCTCTTGACCTCGTGATCCACCCGCCTCAGCCTCCCAAAGTGCTGGGATTACAGGCTTGAGCCACCGCGCCCGGCTTTGTTTTGTTTTGTTTTGAGACAGGATGTCTTGCTCAGACTGGAGTGCAGTGGCCCCATCATAAATGGCTCACTGTAACTTTGAACTCCTGGGCTCAAGCAGTCCTCCTACCTCAGCCTTCCAAATAGCTAGGACCAAGTAGCATACCACCACAGCCTGCTGGTTTTTTAATTACTTAATTTTTTTTTTTTTTTGAGACAGAGTCATACTCTGTCACCTAGGCTGGAGTACAGTGGCAGGATCTTGGCTTACTGAAACCACTGCCTCCTGGGTTCAAATGATTGTTGTGACTCAGCCTCCTGAGTAGCTGGGATTACAGGCCTGTGCCATTATGCATGGCTATTTTGTGTCTTTTTAGTAGAGATGGGGTTTTACTATGTTGGCCAGGCTGATCTCAAACTCCTGACCTCAAGCGATCTGCCCGCCTTGGGCTTCCAAAGTGCTGGGATTACAGGCAGAGCCACAGCGCCCAGCCTTGTTTCAGGGTCTTACTTTGTTACTCAGGCTGGCCTCAAATTCTTGGGTTTAAGTGGTTCACCCGCCTTCCAAAGTGTGCTGGGATTATGGACATGAGCCACCATGGCCAACTCAGATCTTTATTTTAAAAGTAAAATAGAAAATATTTTGATTTAAAAAATGGCAGTGTAACGCTGGTTGTAGATCACAGCTGAAATCCCAGCGGTTTGGGAGGCTGAGGCAGGAGGATCACTTGAGGCCAAGAATTCAAGACCAGCCTGGGCAACATGGCAAAACCCCATTTCTACAAAAAGTTAAAAATTAGCCAGATGTGTTGGCTGTAGTTCCAGTCACTTGGGGGACTGAGGCAGGAGGACCGATTGAGGCTGGGAGGTGGAGGCTACAGTAACCTGTGATTGTGCCACCGCTGCACCCCAGCCTAAGAGACGGGAAGACCCTGTTCAAAAAAAAAAAAAAAATTGCAGTGAGGTAAAAACAAAGTATTCTGGATAGAAAATTGACTAAGGAATTACGTAGGGTTTTCTAGAGCACTCCAGACATTTCCTCATTGAAAAGCTGTCTCGTGGGGCACCGTTCTGAGTGTTTATCTTCCAGTAGAGGGAACCCAAATGTTCTCACCGTAAAAAAATCCACTAGGTCAAAATTTGCACCCCACTGGCAGGCCCTTCCCTGGATCCTGGGATCCTTGGCCTGGGTCCTGGCAGCGGGGCTGGGGCGTGGGCGTGATTTGCCTGCGCAGCTGCAGGACATACGCACTCAGTAGGCCAGCAGACCCCTGAGCCCGGCACGGGGCTTTGCAAGGACGCTGGTGTGTACAGTCAGGCCATGAAGTCACCTGAGGCATCTAGATCCCAGGAGGAAGTGAGGAGGCTGCCGGGTCTGGAGGGAGCGTTGGGCCGCACAGCCTTTGGCAGATCCTGTAACAGGGAGGGCCAGCCCAGGCCATCTTTGTCTGAAAGGCACAGGGTAGGGTAGGGTGGGGGGAAAGGAAGTGGGGGTCAGGGGTGGGCTGTAGGGGAAAGTTCTCGTCTGTGTCTAGGAGGCAGGCATTTTGTTGATGACTGAGCCTTGAGGAGGCTGTGTGGCTGGAGACACAGCAGGGCTGCTTTCCAGGAGTGTCCCCTGACCTGAGTCTAACTCTAGAATCTTCAAGTTGGGGTCTGTGGGTCACGGCCATCGGACTCAAGTTCAGAGCCTCTGTGGCTTTGAGCCTCAAGGAGGTGGCAGTAGATGTGCCTTGAGGGCAGAGCCTGGTGTTCTCGGTAGAAATGGACGAAGGGGGCGGGCGTGGTGGCTCAAGCCTGTAATCCCAGCACTTTGGGAGGCCAAGGCGGGTGGATCACAAGGTCAGGAGATCACGACCATCCTTGCCAACATAGTGAAACCCCGTCTCTACTAAAAATTCAAAAATATTAGCCAGGTGTGGTGGTATACATGGTCCTAGCTACTCGGGAAGCTGAGGCAGGAGAATTGCTTGACCCTGGAGGCGGAGGCTGAAGTGAGCCAAGATTGCGCCACTGCACTCCAGCCTGGGGACAGAGCAAGTCTCTTTGTCAAAAAAATAAAATAGAAATGGACACAGAGGAGTCCCGCGGCCCTGCCCCTGCGCGGACCGTGGATGCTCTCCTGTTTGGGTTTGTTGCGGGGGCTGGTTTGGTTTGGTGATTTGGTTGTTCGGTTTCCTGGCCTGTTTCTTGATGAGATGTAGCCTACACGGCTCACTTAACGGTGTTTCAGGAACATTCTGCAGCAGCCTGTGGGGCCTTGTGTGAGCAGGACTGGTGCTGCAGGATGACAGGGCATCCAGGTCCCAGTTTATCTTCCCTGCTTTCAGTGGCTGCTGTCTGTGCCCCTCAGTTTCCCCAGCGTGACGTCCTTGCCTCAGACTCCCCACCTCAGTTTCCCCAGTGTGACCGACATCCTTGCCTCAGTTCCCCAGCATGACTCCCCACCTGTTTCCACAGTGTGATGCCCTTGCCTCAGTTTCCCCTGCGTGACTCCCCACCTCAGTTTCCACAGTGTGGTGTCCTTGCTTCTGTTTCCCCTGCGTGACTCCCCACCTCAGTTTCCGCAGTGTGGTGTCCTTGCCTCAGTTTCCCCTGCGTGACTCCCCACCTCAGTTTCGGCAGTGTGGTGTCCTTGCCTCAGTTTCCCCTGTGTGACTCCCTACCTCAGTTTCGGCAGTGTGGTGTCTTTGCTTCAGTTTCCCCTGCGTGACTCCCCACCTCAGTTTCTGCAGTGTGATGTCCTTGCCTCAGTTTCCCCAGCATGACTCCCCACCTGTTTCCATAGTGTGACGTCTTTGCCTCAGTTTCCCCAGTGGACACTCCCTCTGGAGCCCTGCCTTGGGCAGGACCGCGTGGCTTTGATGTGTCTCCCTGCCTGTGGCCATTTCGTTAAGACTGTTTGCTCTGATCTGGAAGCAGGGTTGTCCCAGGGCCGTGGTGGGGTGGGGTGGGGTGGGGTGGGGTGAGTAGGTTGGGTGGGGGTCGATCCCTGGGGCTTGGCGGGTGCCCTCGGGCCAGGCATCCTGGCCTGATGTGAGTCCTCCTTCTGCCGCAGCTTTCCGGGCCCTCCTGCAGATCCGGGCAGTGCGGAAGAAGCCAGGAGCCCTGTCCCCCGTGTCCTTCAGCCCCGTCCTGGCCCAGAGCCTGGAGCACGACGAGCACTCTGTAAGTGCCGCCTCCTGCCTGCGGGATGGGTGGGCATGAGAGGGGCGTCAGTGCCCAGACCAGGCCCAGGGCCCAGACGGTCAGCCGGCAGCCCCGTGTCCTTGTCTGTCCAGTGGGCAGACGTGGCCCCCACAGGGCTGTGAGGCAGGCGTGGCCCTCACGTGGCTGTGAGGCATAAATGGTGTGGCCAGGCTGGGTCCAGGGATGCCACTGCTGGGGACAGCGCTGCCGCCATCAGCTTCCAGTGCCTGTGTCAGGGATGAGCACGGTCGCGGTCTCGGTGGAACCAGGTGCTTTTTTTTTTTTTTTTTTGAGACGGAGTTTTGCTCTTGTTGCCCAGGCTGGAGTGCAATGGCGCGATCTCGGCTCACCGCAACCTCCGCCTCCGGGGTTCAGGCAATTCTCCTGCCTCAGCCTCCTGAGTAGCTGGGATTACAGGCACGCGCCACCATGCCCAGCTACTTTTTTGTATTTTTAGTAGAGACGGGGTTTCACCCTGTTGACCAGGATGGTCTCGATCTCTTGACGTCGTGATCCACCCGCCTCGGCCTCCCAAAGTGCTGGGATTACAGGCGTGAGCCACCGCGCCCGGCGTTACCAGGTGCTTTTTTTGTTCTTTTTGAGGCAGGGTGTCGCTCTGTCACCGAGGCTTGAGCACACCCAAAGTGACGTCATCTCAGCTCACTGCAGCCTCCACCTCCCCGGCTCAAACAGTTCTATCACCTCAGCCTCCCAAATGCTGACTGATGTTTTGTATTTTTAGTAAGATGGAGTTTCACCATGTTGCCCAGGCTGGTCTTGAATTCTTGGGCTCAAGTAATGCTCCTGCCTCAGCCTCCCATAGTGCTGGGATTACAGGTGTGAGCCACCACTTCCAGCCTGTGGTTCTTAGTGAATGAGCTGTGCCATTTCCCTCATGAGTCTCTGTGCGAGGAGCGCTGGTGACCCTCCTCCTGAGCTCCAGGCCCACCAGTCTCCCTCATGGGAACCTCAATGGGCAGACCCTGCTTCAGCCACACAAGGGAGGTGGAACTCTGGCTCCAAGAATCCAAAGAGAGAGACAGAGACATGGAGAGAGATGTGAAGAGACACAGGGAGAGATGTGGAGAGACAGAGACAGGGAGAGATGTAGAGAGATACAGGGAGAGACAGAGATGTGGAGAGACAGATAGTGAGAGATGGAGAGATAACATACAGAGAAACAGGGAGAGACAGAGACAGGGAGAGATGTGGAGAGACACAGGGAGAGAGAGATGTGGGGAGATGCAGGGAGAGATGGAGAAATGAGAGACAGGGAGAGATGTGGAGAGACAGACGGAGAGATGAGGGAGAGACAGATGAGAGACAGACAGGAAGAGATGCAGGGAGAGACAGGGAGAGACAAGGAGAGATGTGGAGAGACAGATGGAGAGATGTGGAGAGACGGAGATGGAGAGACAGGGAGAGACAGACAAGGAGAGATGTGGAGAGACAGATGGAGAGAGGTGGAGAGACGGAGAGACAGACAGGGAGAGATGTGGAGAGACAGGGAGAGATGTGGAGAGACAGGGAGAGATATGGAGAGACAGGGAGAGATAGAGGGAGAAATGAGAGACAGGGAGAGACAGGGAGAGATGGAGAGATACAGATATAGAGAAACACAGGGAGAGACAGAGACGGAGAGATATGAAGAGACAGAGATGTGGAGAGACAGATGGAGAGATGTGGAGAGACGGAGAGACAGACAGGGAGAGATATGGAGAGACAGGGAGAGATAGAGGGAGAAATGAGAGACAGGGAGAGACGGAGAGATGGAGAGATACAGATATAGAGAAACACAGGGAGAGACAGAGACGGAGAGATATGAAGAGACAGAGATGTGGAGAGACAGGGAGAGATGGAGAGAAAGAGATGGAGAGACACAGGGAGAGATACGGAGAGACAGATGTGGAAAGAAAGATGTGGAGAGACAGAGATGGAGAGATGTGGAGAGACAGAGAGACATGGAGAGAGAGACAGGGAGAGACATGGAGAGACAGAGATGTGAACAGACACAGGGAGAGAAAGACAGATATGGAGAGACTGACAGAGGCCGGGACGGTGGCTGGGGCTTTGGTGGGTAGGGAGCAGAGTGGGGGAGGTGACAGGGACTGGGCGGCCCAGGGTCTGGTTCTCGGGCCCCTGCTCCCTGCTGCCCGCGTGCACTGTCGGTGCATCCCTTTCTGGGCTCTCGGCTGTGGCTGTTTGAAGTCGTTGGTTCTTGCAGGCCCTGCTGCCCCTCTAAACAGAAAAGAGGAGCAGAGCCCCAAGGACTGGCATTTACAGACGCCGCCTTTGCTGTCGAAGGCTCCTCACGAGCCCCCTTGAGCAGGGCCTTGACCTGGGGCCTGTGGGCCTCCCTGGCAGCAGATGCAGTGTTTCTGAAATGGGGCCAATGTTTAAAAGTCTGGAATTTCCCTTAAAACCCAAATTTTGGGTTTCTCCTTTAAAATCTTACCTGGTTTTGAAGCTGGTAGAGAAACATGGATTGGCATCCCCTGTCATCTGGGGTTCCTGGCACCATGCCCTCTGGCACTTTTGGCGTTGGCTTTGATTTGGAAATGCTGCATGCGCTCTGGGTTTTGGTGGAGAGAGAAGCAGCCCCTGGAGGAATAGCCCCCGAGAGGGTTACATGGAGGGAGTGATCCATCTTCATGTTTATTGTCACTTGTTTTTGCCCCTCCCTGTTTGTGTCCTGGTGGCCGAGGGTCTGACAGGTCCTTCCATGTTTGTCCCTCTTAAATTGAGTGAGCTGAGATTCCCCTGCAGTGTAGCGCGCTGGGGTCCAAGATGTGACAGGTGGCTCTGAGCCCCCAGAAGGGCTGGCGCCCACCCAGAGAGCCACCCTCCCCTCCTCAGGGAGCGAAAGCAAACACTCCTCTTCACCTGCCAGGTGCGTTCTACGTAGTGCCAGAAAGAGCCACTGTGACGTTCTCTCCAGCGAGTCCCTAAAGATGATCGTGGGGTGGGTGGTTCTGGGTCTCTCTTCTCCCCAGCCCTCTTTAGGGGTTCATGTTTGTGGTAGGTAGTGGCAGTGCCCGGGCAGTGGCTGGGGGACTTTGACCAGGGTGGCTTCAGGATCCCCACCCTGCACCCATCCCGCATTAGGGAGCGTCCGGCTGCTCTCATGTCCACCTTGGCCAAATCTGTTGCCCCAGGTGACCTACACCGCAGGTGGGCAGGCACTGGGATGAGACCAGCCTCCATGGCACCACTCTTGGGAGCTGCTGGGATTCACACACAACCCACCCAGACCCGAGTCAGAACCTGCCCTTAGCATGGTCCCGAGATTCACATCCACTGCAAGGTTTTGAAGTTCTGGGCCTCGACGTGGTAAGAGGACAGCTAGTCAGACACCTGTCCAGCCCACTCCAGGGCCGTGCGGGGGTGGTAGTTGTAAAACATATGATTTTTATCTTGACAGTGTCCCTTTAAAAAATCAAAGCCGCACCCCGCCTCCCTGACCAGCAAGAAACCTAAAAGGGAAACAGTAAGTGTCTGGGCCTCTGGCTATGTTTTTTTGCCCCGCGCCCTCATTTTTAAACACACGACAAATAGGGGAGATGGTTTCCGCCCCAGGCTAGTGTCTGATTCGGGTAACCTGTCAGCTCTTCTCTCCCAGTCCTGGCCTCCCTGCCCAGGGAGTTTGTGCAACCAGACGAGCTCTCGGTCCGTGGGCAAAACGCAGGCTTGCCGGCCTCGCCGCTCTCCACTCAGCTTTGCCTCCACCCTGCGTGGCCCCCGTGCCGTTTCCCTTTTTTTTCTTGCTGGCAGTGGAATGGATGTTGCAGGCGGAACTAACGCTGCTGCGTTTTGCAAACGTGCCCCTCGCACACGCTTCTCGGTCCCACGTCCTGCTCCTTCACCCTGCGGGTTCGAGCTCTTTGCGCTGAGGACTTTGGTTTTCTTGGGCTTCCCTTGTGCCCCAGAGAGCAGGCAGGGGGACCAGCACATGCCTACCTGGAGCCTCTGCGGCCCGGGCAGACCCAGCCAAAATCCTGTGGGCCTTGGTGTAGAGAGGTAGAGGCCACTCCGGAACCACCTGGAACGTGTCTTCCTTTCTAGAGGGGTAAGGGGACTCTGTGTAGTTATTTATCTTTAACTTGGAGGCAGGTATGGGAGCAAATGTGGGGTACAGAAAAGAATCCTGGGCCATGCCTGCTCTCCCACCTGCCCATGGTCCCAGGCATCCCCCACCTATCTCACTTTCCCCTTCCTTCTAGGAGCCCGGTCAGGCAGCCCAGGGTCTCCTGGAAGGAGCAGTGCTGAGTGTGTTGCCTCTCAGCCTGGTTTTGTGGGGACCAAGCAGGCCCCTGCAGTCTTCCTTCCTTTCCCCAGAACCTGGGCATTTTTCTCTTCCTCAGCCTCTTCCATTCTGTCTGCTCCCCATGAGGGGAGAACAGCGGCTCTTAGCCAGGGTACCTGTTAGTGTTGCCTGGAGCATGTCAGCCCCCAGAGGCCTGGGCAGGGCACAGCTCCCAGCAGCTCAGCTCTCCCTGGTCCAGGACAGCCCCCGACCTTGTCTCTCGCCTCTGGCATGGCTTCACTCTGCCCCCGCTCCTAGCTCCTGTCTGTCACTAACACTTCTCTCTCCACCTGTGGCCAGGCGGGAATGAAAGCCAGGGAGGGGCCAGCTGAGGCCAGGGCTGGGGCCGCTCTGGGCAGATGCCCTCGTGACCATCATCCCAGGCACCAGCGTGGGCGTTTGGGCATCCGGGTTCATGCTGGAGCTGATGGCTGAGGCAGGGAGGGCATCAGTGCTGCCAGGGAGCTCTGGGCCACTCTCTGAGGGCAAGGGAGTCTAAATCTCCCAAAGTACAGAGTGGATAGGAGGTCATCAGGAGGAAGGTCGGGGGAGCAGGTGGTCTCTGGGCATGAGCCCCCCTCACCCGCCCTGTCCCTGCAGAGCTCTGACAGCGTCCCACCCGGCTATGAGCCCATCTCGCTGCTCGAGGCGCTCAACGGCCTCCGGGCTGTCTCCCCGGCCATCCCCTCAGCCCCTCTTTATGAAGAAATCACCTATTCGGGTGTCTCAGACGGCCTATCCCAGGCCAGCTGTCCACTCGCCGCCATTGATCACATCCTGGACGGCAGCCGCCAGAAGGGCAGACCTCAGAGCAAGGCGCCTGACAAGTGAGTGGCGGGCAGGCTGGGTGCATGGGGCGGGTGTGGTGGCACGAGTGTGGAGTGGGTGGATTTGTGGTTTCAAATCAGTTTCTGGTGTATTCCATATGGTGATCCCCTAGAAGGACTCTGAGACCCTGTAGCAGGTTAGGCTTATGGATAAAGTTTATCACAGCAGAGCATGTAGAGCAGACAAGGCAGGAGGAGTCTCTGGGCAGCTGGAGGCGTTGCCCCCTGACCAGGGCCACATGGTGTGCACGCACATACATACTCTCGGCGGAGAAACTGCAGGGCTCCGTGCTGCGTCTCTGCCAAGGGGAGGCCGTCTGAGTCTCAGGTTCCTGGACTTTGCTGGGGACTGGTCATGTAGGCCCACTGTGCCAGTGAGCGGCCAGGGCAGCCGGAACTCGGGACTTGACAGTGACCCAGGGGCACTTACTGCTCTTGCGGTTCGCCCCTGACGAGTCACAGGGCGTGGTCCCTCTCCAGGCAATGACTGCCATTCACATGGCAGCCTTCCGCGGGCTTGGCTCCCGGGGTTGGCCCTGGGTCAGTTGTGGATTCCCTGGAGCCTTGTGGGGTACAGAGCAGCTGCCCGGGGGACTCTGCCTCAGGCGTGTTGGTCCTCATAGAAGAGTATCAGGAAGCCACCCAGGGCACCTGCCATGCCCATGAGGGGGCAGCACCAAAGCTCAGAGAGAAACAGGGGCCTCTGTCTCCTGCTGCTTCTCCACCCCAGGAACCACCCGTGGTTTCTCTTCTCTTTATAGGAAGGAGAGGAAGCCTAGGTCTGTGCCAGTGTGCTGGGAGAGAGGCCCCTCTGTTGGGCGGGTCTGTGGAGGCTGCCTTTGCCTGCTGGCCCTTTGGGTTGGTCCCAGTGGTGGGTGATGGAAACGCCTCCCCAGGGAGTGTCCTTTGCATGGGTCCTGGCAGACATGTGCAGGGGCCCGCTGGTGCCCATGGGGCAGTAGCCCAGCACGGCTTGGGCAGAGTTGGCATTTTTTGTCATTATCCTCATCCCTGCCCACCCTCTCTTCTGTCCTCAGCACCCTGCGGTCCCCATCTTCCCCCATCCACGAAGAGGACGAGGAGAAGCTCTCTGAGGATGTGGATGCCCCTCCCCCACTGGGTGGCGCAGAGCTGGCCCTGCGGGAAAGCAGCTCCCCTGAGGTGAGGCCTGCCCCGGGCAGCCCACCAGCCCATCGCTGGCATTGCACCCCATCCCACTGCTTGTCTGGGCACCCCCACACCTCTGGGCCCTTTGAGGATCTTGGCTCCTTAGCCTCGGTCTGTGGACACAGCACCCCCTGGTGTAGCAGCTGTCTGGGTCTCAGGAGGGCCATGGCTGATGGCGGCTTGTCCTGAGTGGTGGCCACAGGTCTCCATGCTTTAGGCCACTTTCCCCCTTTGTTTCCTAGAGTTTCCCGTTTTTGTGTTTATTTTATTCATTCTTTGTGTTTTTTGTTTGTTTCCTAGAGTTTCTTAACAGAAGAGGTTGATGAGTCATCACCAAAGCAAGGTGAGCCCCTCTTCCCATGGGTGCAAACTGCATGCTGGGACCAGGTGGCCCCAGCTCACTGGGGTCTGAGGGCTCCAGGCGGCAGCTTTCGGCCACCCTCTCCTCTGTCCCATGAACTCTCAGCCAAGAGGCCCTCCTCCCGTCTTGGTGGCACTGGGATCCTGGCTGGGAGGGACTGAATGGGTGACGGGGCCAGGCCACACTGTTCACCCTTCAGGGCCGTCTGCCAGGGATGGGTAACACCTGCCAGCTTTCAGTCCTGTTTTTGAAATGTGGATGTGTAATGTTAGTATGTCAGAAACAAAACCCCATGCTCTCAACATCCGGGACACAGTATAAAAACCGGGGGAGAAAGCCCCATGCTGGAGGGTGGGAAGGAGGGAAAGACAGGAAAGCAGCCACCCTTGGGGTCCTGGGAGAGCAGGTGCGGTTCAGGTGGAGTCCCGTCGGAGCCCAATCCTGGGGACCCCGAAGTGGCTGTGCAGTTCTTGGGTCCTGCCCAGAGGGACCTGCTGGGACCTGGCCCCTGCCTGCAGGTCCCTGACCTTGCCCTCTGCCTGTAGGGACCCGAGCGCCGTCCATTGAGAACGTCCTGCAGGACAGCAGCCCTGAGCACTGTGGCCGAGGCCCACCTGCCGACATCTACCTGCCAGGTGAGGGGCTGGGGGGCTGGGGGTGAGGGGCTGGGTGCCCATCTCAGTCCCTCGGGAGGAGGCCCCTGCTCCGATGGCCCATGCTTAGCAGCAGGGGCTGGTCCGTTGGAGCTCGGTTCTCTCCCTGGCACTAAGCCATTCCCCTGCTGTTGACCCTGAAGCAAGATGCAGCCCAGGGCTGCAAGGCAGCGTCGCGCAGGGCCTGGCTCTTGGGAGTGGAGTCTGCACCAATGCCCCTTCCCTTCCTGGGGCCAGCTTGGCCACAGGAGGGGAGAGAGGCTGCCTGTGAGAGGATGGGTTCCTTTTCCCTGTGCCTCCTGCTGGCTTCCAGGAGGGCAGCTCTGGCCCCGCTGGGATCATCACCTCTTCCCCCATCCCTGGTTGTTCCATGGGCCCACAGGCCCCATGCTGGGTGCCAGGTGAGCTCTTAGCAGAGCCTGAGAGCTGTAGACGGAGCGGAAGCAGGTGCAACATGCTGTGCTGGGCATCGGGGGCCCCGGGCCACAGAGAACAGGGAGAGTGGCTTCTGGGTCACCCCTACCGCAGGCCTGACGTAGGCCACCTGTCTAGATGCAGCAGCACATTCCAGGCCAGGGCGCAGAGGACAGGTTGGGGCGGCGCCGGGTGTCAGCGGGGAGCGGCAAGGCCAGGAGAAAGGGTTGCCATTTCCACCTTTCCTAGAGGCTCAGGCCTAGGCAGTCCCCATCAGCCAAGTACCTTCACTCTGTTCTGCTGGTATAAGATCCTCAGCTTCAAATCCTGAGCTCCAAAGACCGGGAGAGAACTGGGGGCTCAGACTGGTATCTCCACGCCTGCCGCAAGGCCGTCTGCAGCTCTGGAACTGAGATAAATGGGGGAACTCGGTGGCTTCAGATGTGACCCTGGAGCTGCTGCTGCTTAGGGGCATAGCTCCTCCCTTGTGGCTGCTTGGTTACCTCCTCCTGACCCTGGGGCCAACAGGTACTCAGTCCTCCTGGGTCACCCAGTGACCTGGGCCTGGCATTGGGTGATGATGATGCGCTTTAGTTGGAAGGACCTCTTGTTCCTCCGGACTCTGGCTGAGCAGTGGCCTGTGCTCACGGGCTGGGTGGGTCGGGTCACAGGTGCAGGAGCTGGCACTGCCCCAGGTCCCTGATAATAGCTGCAGCTTGCCCCAAACGGCTCACAGCAGAAGGTGCATGTAGGACTAGCTTACCTTAAAGTGACACAATTCCGGTAAGCTCTTTCAAAGGACCTCAGATGTTTCATTCTGATGGAGAAACTTGGAAGGTGATGGAGGAGGGGCTGGGAGAAGGACTTGAGCTTCTGCGAGCCACAAGCGTTACTTCTGATCCTGCGGAGTGGCCCTGCGGGGCAGTGTCTGAGAGGCCACACCTCTGCTGTGTGGCCTGGCCTGGGAAGGATCGCCACAGCCACTGCCAGCCCACACATAGGAGACCAGGACCCTGGGGTCTCATGCCTCACACCCAGGGAGGGTCTCGGGCCTTCTTCAGGTGCACAGACAGGCGCAGGTGGCAGTCATCTGTGGAGACGGCATAGAGGGGCCAAGTCTGCATTCAGGCAGCCCAAGGTGAACTCCCGGGCCGGGCACCCGACTTGGGGCCGACTGCCGCTTGATGCCAGCAGGTCAGCCTGCACAGCCTCAGGTTTGAGCTGTGGACAGCACATTCACCTTTGGGGTCTGTATGGTGCCATCTACTTGGCTGTCAACCTTCTAAGCATTGGTTTCTGTCTTTTTTTTTTTTTTTTTTGAGATAGGGTCTCACTCTGTCACCAGGCTGGAGTGCAATGGCACAATCTCGGCTCATTGCAACCTCCACCTCCTGGGTTCAAGCGATTCTTCTGCCTCAGCCTCCCCAGTAGCTGGGACTATAGGTGCCCACCACCACGTCCAGCTAATTTTTATATTTTTAGTAGAGACGGGGTTTTACCATGTTGGCCAGGCTGCTCTTGAACTCCTGACCTCATGATCTGCCCACCTTGGCCTCCGAAAGTGCTGGGATTACAGGCGTGAGCCAGTGAGCCGGGCTCTATGTCTCTCTTTAAATCCATGTGGTGGCCCCTCTGTTTCACTGGCTTTCTCCCGCACAGAGCCCTTGCCTGTCCCTACGTCTGTGAGTAAAGCATGAACACACACACAGGATCCTGTGGTTTCTCATAGGGGCAGCCGTTGCCTGGCGGTTTGGGCAGTGAACCCTGGTGTCCCTGTAGATGGGAGGGCCCATGAGATGGTGAACTCTGAGGGTCCTGGTGTCTCAGGGTTTCCCCTGGCTCAGCCCTGTCTAGCCCCAGCCCCTGCCCAGGCCCTTCCCTCCTGAACCCAGAGGTGGACTGCACCTGCTTCATCCTTCCTGCGCCCTTCCCTTTGCTGCCGTGTGGGAGCTGCAGGAGGGAGAGGCAGGGCCGGGTGCTCCTCCGAGTTGGATTCTGGCCATACTCCGCCTCTCAGCTGTGGTTCTCCCTGTGGTTCTATGTGGTTGCAGCACAGCGTTTGTTTCTAGATGGCCCCGACCTTCGTCCCCAGGCTGGTGCCCTTGCTATGGCGGTGCCAGCTGCTGCTTGCGTGCTAACTGAGCTTCCGTCTGTCTCTCCCCTCTTCGCGCAGCCCTGGGGCCCGACTCCTGCTCTGTTGGTATAGACGAGTAAGCCGGTACGTGACCTTCCAGACGCGCTTCGGGGGCTCTGACGCGTGTCTTTGGAGAGAGGAGCCCTCCTGTGGTCTCTGGCGGGGGTTCCTTCTGGTTTTTGGGTCTTCATCCGCATCCATGTCTTCCCAGGCGTCCTGGGTTCTGTATCCAGAGCTCTGGTGGCCACTGCACCTTTGCCCCAAAAAGTGGCCTCCTGAGGGGTCCTGACTTTTAGAGTCAGAGGTCTCTCCATCTGCACTCGGCGGCTGGTCAGGATCTTTTTCCAGCCTTAAGGGACCCTGGAATAGTCCCAGCCCAGGCAGGGAGACAGACCCAGCCCAGGTGTGCGAGAGCCACTGTCCCCCACAGGAGGTAGAAGCATGGAGGGAACCCCAGGGAGATGCGGGGTGACACTTTCGGAAGGGAGAGCCTCAGGCCCAGGCCCAGCCTTGTTCCGGATGGTCCCCTGCGAGTTCCCGTTGGGATGTGCAGCAGGTCACTCCCATTTTCTGGACATGGCTTTAAGTAATAAATCATGGGGAAAAGAATGTGCCCCAGGCTGGGAGAGCCTGGGATCACCTGTTCCCAAGCTCAGTCCCCGTCTCTTGGAGGGAGTCTGTCCTTGAGGGGCCTTTTGGTGCCCAGGGGAGAGCGTCTTGCATCCTCTCCTGAGGGTGTCCACTCACACAGCTGCTTGCTACCCAGTGGGCCTGGCAGACAGTCCCTTGTGGGCTGCCTTTCTGCTTTGAGCCCACCATTGCTGCTGACTCACCTGTCCCTGCCAGTACTAGAACCTTCTGGAACACCAGCACTGAGTGTGATAGGAAGCCCTGTGAGGCTGGCACCCCCATTCCCCCCCAAGAGACCTCCTCATCCCCCCAAGAGGCACTCTCTGCCAGGGTGGCTCAGGCGGACGTCTGACCGAAGCCGCTCTGGCCGGGCACTGACTCACACCTGTAATCCCAGGTCTTTGGGAGACCAAGGGGTTAGATGACTTGAGCCCAGGATTTCAAAGTAGTGTGTGAAACATAGTGAGACCCCTTCTCTACAAAAAATTTAAAAAATTGTCTTGAGCTTGGTGGCTTACACCTGTGGTCCCAGCTCCTCGAGAGGGGCTGAGGTGGGTGCATTGCCTGAGCTGGGGAGGTCAAGGCCCACTCCAGCCTGAGACCTTGTCTCAAAAACAGAAAATACACACACGCGAACACACACACGGGAGAGAGAGGACAGCTCCAGGAGTACCACCAAAAAGTAGGCAGGCAGACTGGGGGCCTCCGCCTTCCCAAAGGGTCTGGGTGCACATGCCGCCTGCAGTTCTGGTCTGCTGAGGGGGCTGCTGGTGTGCTCTGAGGCCAGGGCTCCCGCTCAGGACCCCAGCCATCATCGGGCAAGGCCCGTGCGGCCCGCTGGGAAGTGCCCGGCCGGGGTCCAGGCTCCCAGAGGCCCTTTCCCCTTGGGTGGACTTGAGCTGGGCCTGGGCGCTTTGCTTGTTTAGACTGCACTCTGCGTGCCAGTGTGTCCCTCTGTGGACCCCTCTCCTGACCTATCATACCCTTTGACTGAAACGCCACCCGCACCTTTCAGAGGGCCCCGGCCTGCGCGTCGGTGGACGGTGCTGTTCGAATGTTACCGCTCAGGTCAAGCTTCCAGAGACGGGGAGTGCAGGTGTGGTCTGGAACCGGCTCACAGCCTCTGAGCTCCGGTCTCGCTGCAGGCTGCAGCGCCCGAAGAAGATAACCGTGCTTCACCTGAGAGTGGGGCCAGGCCGTGTCTCCCGGGAGCCGTGTGTCAGGGCTGGTGGCTGGATGTTGGGCAGCCCTGAGGCCGTGCTGGCCCCATCCCAGGCTCAGCACCAGCACCGTTGCCCAAGCCCCAGGGACGCCAGACCCATCCAGGGACAGCACCTGGCGGCAGTGTAGAAGCCACAGTCCAAGCGTCGGGGCTCTGTGGGAGGCTCCTCTCTGCCTCACAGAAGCCACCATGGGGCCACTCTGAGCATGGGATTGTTCTCGCTCAGGGCTCCTCCCCGACCCTCCACCCTGGGTTGACTGAGTTCTAGCCTAACCCAGCCATAAGGACCCTGGCAGGACAGCGGGTGGTCACATCCCAGGAAACTGGAACCAGGGGTAGGGCAGGAGACCCAGAGGGCAGAAGCCACGGTGCCATGTCATGTTCTGACTCAGGGCTGCAGCTCTGCTGCTGGTGTCTGGGGGTGCCAGGGTGATCTGCCTGGTGGCCCAGGATGAGGGGTGATGTGCCCAGTGTCCAGGGTTGCGGAGTGATCTGCCTGAGAGGGACACACTGTGCTCAGCAGGGCTGGGGAGGCTCCATCAGTTGTTCTGGCCACAGACAGGTGGCGGGAGTGGGGGTGCTGGGTGGCCCACCCCTGTGTGGCTCCAGGTTGGTAGGAGTGGGTGGCAAGGGACCAAGCAGCTGAGTGTGACCCACCTCCCTCCCCCTCTGCTCCCGCTTGCAGGATGGCCCACCTCCATGGAAACGGCCCACGGCCTTGGCACCACCAGCCCCACCTGGCCTCCTCTTGGTGGCCCCAGCCCTGATCCCAGCACCGCCGAGCTGACCTCACTCTGAGAGCCTGGCCAAGCTGGCAGCATGGAGCCCTCAGCTCCTAGACTTTGCCAAGGGGCTGCCCCAGACCCTGGTGTGACTTGGCCTCTCCTGTCTGCATGCCCCCTGTGGCCACCAGGCTCCAAGGGGCTGTGGTGACCCTTGATCAAAGAGCACAGTGGACCGTCCCCTGAGTCCCCTTTTTCTATGGTTGATATATTTGTAACTGGTACAAGATGAAGGACAGTAGCTTTCCATCCCCAAGTTCAGTGCCTGGGTTCCCCAGGGTCTGGTGGGCCGAGCGTCTGGGGCTGGGGCTGAGGCTGGGGCTGCCCACACGTGGCCTGCGCTGGCTACACCCGGTCCCGCAGCAGTGCAGTCACTGCCCAGAGAACTCAGCAGACCTGCACAAGAGAATTTATTGGTGGGTGAAGCACTATCTTCACAGATATTCGGGGGCAGTGGGGGCTCGAGGCACAGTCAATGAAGGAAACAGTGCCTGTCCGCCCAGCCCGCCTTTGTCACCGTGGCAGCCTGGCTGTTGCTGCCCTTTGTCCTCTGCCGTGTTTGTGCAGCCTCCATGCCCTCCCTGGTGTGTCTCTGCTGGCGCCTTCAGTGCTCAGAGCTTTGGGGTAGAGGTGTCGCTCTGGGCAGCTGAAGCATCTCAGCCTAGCACTGGACCTGACTGAGGGGCCGAGGCACAGCCACTTCCAGTAGCCATCATCCAGTGGCCTTGTTACCAAGCCCTGCACCTTCTCACCGTGCTGGCTTTGGTGACATTGCCAGGCACCTCCAGTTGCAGGGCCATCTGTTCGGCAGGGCCCTGTCAAGGAGGACCTGGTGGCCTCCTCGTTCCCCTTTGCTATTGGAATGTCCCCTCCAGTTCTCTTTTTTCTGAGATGGAGTTTCACTCTTGTCGGCCAGGCTGGAGTACAGTGGCATGATTTTGCTCACTGCAACCTCCACCTCCCAGGTTCAAGTGGTTGTCCTGCCTCAGCCTCTGGAGTAGCTGGGATTACAGGCGCATGCCACCAACCCTGGCTAATTTTTTTTTGTATTTTTAGTAGAGACAGGGTTTCACCGTGTCGGTCTGGCTGGTCTCGAACTCCTGACCTCAGGCGATCCACCCACCTTGGCCTCCCAAAGTGCTAGGATTACAGGCATGAGCCACTGCGCCTGGCCCTCTTGCGGTTCTCTTTGATTTGTTGTGTCAGGCTCCTGTGGTGGGACCCGCCCGGGGAGGAGGGAGCCAGCAGCCCACCTGGTGAGTGAGGTCACAGCCGGTAGGCTTGGCTTCTGGGCGACCTCGTCCTGTTTTTATTAAGGTAAACTTCCTGGGCAGCAGGCGGGTGAAGGGGGTATCTGGCCCTGGTGACCCAGGGCTTGAGCTGCCCCAGCAGGGCCCTGGGCCAGGAAGGTATGTGCAAGTCTTCTGGCCTGGGCTTGGGGATCAGACAGCTGTGGGGCAGCTCACTGCCCTCCCCGAGGCTCAGGTGGCTCCAAGCACAAGCTCTGCTTCCTGGGCGCTCAGGGAAGACCCAGCAGTGGTCCCCACACCCAGCTCCCTGTGCACCCAGGCCAGCCCCGCTCCTGCCCTTGTGCACATGCACACACATGCTCTCACGTTCATGCTCTCACACATGCTTATGCAGTCACTTGCACATGCTCATACACGCTCACACGCACACATGCTCACGTTCACGCACACATGCTCAGGCACATTTGCACACACGCACACACATGCGCACGCATACACATATACATACATATATGCTCCTACGTGTGTGTGCACTCAGCCCGGGCATCTCCCCACACGCCTCTCCCCAACACACCTCCCCACAACCCCACCTCTCCTCCCGCTCCGCCAAGGCCACAGCCTCTGGCCGTCAGTCCTGGTGCCAGGGCTCTGCGTGAAGTTCGGGCTGCAGAATGGCCCGCTGGGACTCCTACGTGCTGCCATTTGATGTGCTCAGATGGGCCCATTTGTTTTTACTGTATATTTATAGTAATAAAATCACGCAGCAATATACTGTCTGTTCCTTCCTCTGGGCACAGTCCTCAGGACAGTGGCTGTTTCCTGACCCGGAGTTGGGCCACTGGGTGGTTTGGTTGGCTCCAACAGCCTGGCAGCTTCATGGCCTCTGCCCGGCTTCCCTCCGGTGTCAGGGCAGTGAGCAAGGTGAGGGCTAATGAGAACGCTGGCTCCCAGCCGGCAGTGTCTCGGCTTTCCTCTGGTTGGAGGGAAGCCACACCCTCGAGATCGGGCTGTCTCCTGCACAGGTGGTGCGGTAGCCCGGGGCCTGCAGGTGTGAGTTGTTGCTCCTGTTCCCATCTTGCTGAGCGCCTGGTGTGTTCCAGTGGCAGCAGAACAGCTGAGGCCTGGACCCCAGGCATCTGCATTCCAGGCAGTGAGACGCCCAGCTGCTAATCAGAATCTTGCCAGGTTTGGATGCTATTAGGAGGAAAGGGTGGTGAGACGAAACCTTAAAAGGGACTCATTGAACTGGGCGGCAGGGAGAGCCCTGAAGGCTGAGGAGGAGCTGGCCTTGGAGTGCTCCAGGTGGCAGTAGTAAGCCTGGTGTGTCCCCTGGGGACAGAGCCCCTGGTTGGAGTGAAGGGTGCAGGATAGCTGCTGAAGATCTTATAGAGGCTACTGGAGTGTTTTTATTAGGGGGAGTCAGGGGTTTTTGGTTTTGTTTAGTTTTTTGAGGTGGAGTCTTGCTCTGTCACTCAGGCTGGAGTGCAGTGGTGCATCTCAGCTCAGTGCAACCTCCGCATATGGGGGAGTCAGTTTTAAGAACACGTTTTCAAGCAAAGGGGCAGTGCCGCTGCCCTACAGCTGGCATGTGGAGCCCGGACGGCCGGAGCAGGTCTGGCTGCCCAAGGTTGTGGGCTCCAGGGCTAGAGCCCAGCTCCAGGCCTCTGCACAGCCCCTGCTCCCCTGCCCAGGGAGTGGCCAGTGCACCAGGGCAGCCACCACACCACCGCCTACCACTCGGCCCCAGCTCCTTTGCACACAGGTCAAGCTGCCACCATGCCCTTCGACTGAAGACCCTGAGGGTGGAGGGGGTGCCCATGTTTTGCTCATCAGTCCCCCAAGAAGGCTGCCACCCATGGGCCCTGCAGCTGCTCTGACAGGCCTGGGTCTGGCCCCATCCCATTGTGGGTAGAGGAGTGTCCAACGGGTACTTGCATGGGCCAGATCGGCTTCCCCTCTGTACCTCCCAACAGACCCAGCACTTTTATTGGTGTCTGGTGTCAGGGAGGGGCTGGAGCAACGGGAGTCTCCTCTCCAGTGCCCATGCGTCTCAAGGACCCTGGGCTCTGGGTCTCTGGCTGGGCTTGGCTGTCTAGGGGTCAGGCCCTCTTTGGGTGGGAGGACCCTTGCCCTCGGTGCCCTCTTGCCTTCTAACATGATCGCTTACCCTGGAATCAGGCTTCCCCTGCTGGCTGCAGCTGACCTGTATGACCACCTTCACTGGTGGCCACAGCAAGAGAGAGGTGTCCTCTCTAGGTCTTTATTCTTCACATCTGACGCCACCATGGACCTAACAGGTGAGTTTCCAGTGCCCACCCTCTGTCCACCTCTCTCCTGTCTGGCTCCACTCAAGGCAGCTTTCTCTGTGCCTGCGAGCTTGGCCTCACTGCACAGCTCTCCCAGGGCTGTGCTCAGCAAATCCATTTGCCGGGTCGGGAGGAGTGGGCCCTGCTGCTGGTGAGGTAAGCCTCGCCATCGTGGAGTTCGGGGGACCTCACTCTCCCTTGGCTGTTTGTTTGAGCCCCAGAGACTGACTTCTCCAGTACAGATACAGAGTAAGTACCTCAGGCCTTTGTGGAATTGGGGTGGAATCGTGCCTCTGTCACCAGCTGCTGGGTGCAATTAGACAAGTTCTGTCCCTCTCTGAGCCCCAAGTTCCTCATCGTAAATTGGGGAAAGCCCTCTTCTCTCCCCCCACCCCTCCGCACAGTACCTGGCACAGGGTGCCCGGCTTGGAGGATGCTGCAAAGCGCCAGCCCCGGAATTTAAGTCACTTTGTGTCCAGCAGGCTGAGTCCACGGAGTTCTGGTCCTCCGCCCTGATCCTGGACTCGGGGACTGGGGTACTCAAGCCCTCCTAGGCCCTGTTCCCGGTGGCGGGACAGATGTCGTGGGTGGCAGGCGAAGGTCGTCGCCCTCTGGGCTTGGGTGCGGAGCGTTGGCGGAGGGAGATTCCGGGGCGTTGCTGGCAAGCGTGGTAGTGCCAGTGCCGAGAGCGCCATTGCGAATGGGCAGGGCCGGCGGGCCGGTTCAGGCCCCGGGGAGAAACGGGTGAGCGCAAGGGAATGGGCGCTATCCAGGGTAGAGAAACCGCAGGGATTTTCGGGTGTCAGCTTTGGGGCGCCCAGGAAGACGTTTGTCGCCTACAGTGTCAACTTTGACCTAACTCTGGCACCGAGCAGTCGACCTAGTGCTCCTGTCGGAGGCGGGTCCGCCGCTCGGCGTGCGCGGCTATTGGGTGACGGCTGCGCGGGGCCGCCGCCCGGGGTCTGCGACTATTGGGTGACGCGCGCCGCCCGCCTTTGCACACCGCCCCCTGCGCCTCTCAACGACGCGCCGCGTCGCTGCGAGGGGCTCGGCCCTAAGCCACGCCGGCGATTGGCGTGGGGGCGGGACCCGGGGGCGCGGCCGTCGGCGGATTGGCAGAATGCAGCGGAGGCGGGCTCGCGCATGCTCCTAAGTGGCAGCGGCGGGGACGGGGTCAGTGCCAAGATGTCGACCGCGGCGGTTCCGGAGCTGAAGCAGATCAGCCGGGTAGAGGCGATGCGTCTGGGGCCCGGCTGGAGCCACTCGTGCCACGCCATGCTGTACGCCGCCAACCCCGGGCAGCTCTTCGGCCGCATCCCCATGCGCTTCTCGGTGCTGGTGAGAACGGGCGCGGGCCCAGGCGTGGGCGCGGGCCGGGCTGGGAGCGTCCGTCATTCCGGCGCCGGTGACCCGCGCTCCCTTGCAGATGCAGATGCGCTTCGACGGGCTGTTGGGCTTCCCCGGGGGCTTCGTGGACCGGCGCTTCTGGTCGCTGGAGGACGGCCTGAACCGGGTGCTGGGCCTGGGCCTGGGCTGCTTGCGCCTCACCGAGGCCGACTACCTGAGCTCGCACCTGACCGAGGGCCCTCACCGCGTCGTGGCGCACCTGTACGCGCGGCAGCTGACGCTGGAGCAGCTGCACGCCGTGGAGATCAGCGCGGTGCACTCGCGCGACCACGGCCTGGAGGTGGGGCCTCCGCCCGGGCCCCGCCCCCCGCCCCGGGGTTTGGCTCTGGCCCCGTGGAAGGCACCGATGGGTAACACGTCCCCTGAGGGTCCCCTGGCCGGGCTGGGTCGGGTGTCGCTGTCTCCAGCAACGGGGTGGGGAGAGGGGTCTGGGGCTGGGGTGGGGGGTGTCGGGAAAGGAGGGGCGGGGGTGGGGGCCGGGGCTGGGGCTCCCTCAGGGCTGTGTTACATCTGCCTTGCTGCCTGCCATTGCCAATCCTGGGAGTGGGGAGTGGGATCGGTGGGGAGGAGGGGATGTGGGAGCGGGGCCTGCCTGGGGAGTTGGGAAACGAGCAGAGGGGGTTGTTAAAACTTGGGAATCTCATGGGGATGTGAAGGCTCTTTGGATTTGCGTGTTGTAGTCTAGAAGGGTTGGACTCGGGGTGTTCAGGCTTCGCTGGGTGGGCAGGGAGCATGGGGTGTGGACCCTCGGGTGTGGTCCAGGTACCAGGCAGGAGTGCATGGGGTGAGTCTCCACACTTGCTTGAGGAGGGGGCTGTACTGCTCCGAGGGAGCTGGCTGGCTTCTGCCAGGCCCTGCCTGGGTCTCCCATTAAGTTCTTGGTAAAGCTGGCTGTTCATGCCCTGGCATCCTAGCTTCCAGGCCCCTCCTGCCAGGGGTGCCATCTCGTGGTGGGCCTGGCCCCAAGCCCTCCTTCCTGTCCGTGCAGGTTCTGGGCCTCGTGCGGGTCCCGCTGTACACCCAGAAGGATCGTGTCGGAGGCTTCCCCAACTTCCTGAGCAACGCCTTTGTGAGCACGGCCAAGTGCCAGCTCCTCTTTGCCCTCAAGGTGCTCAACATGATGCCCGAGGAGAAGCTGGCTGAGGCCCTGGCTGCGGCCACCGAGAAGCAGAAGAAGGCCCTGGAGAAGCTGCTCCCGGCCTCCTCCTGAGAGCGCCCTGGTCTGCTGGCACCCTCCCCTGGGCTAGAAGGCTGGGAATTCCTGCCAAGTGTGGCTTCTAGAGTGTTTGTACCCCGCTTCTGACTGTGTGGGGCAAGTGGGCCTCCTGTCACATCCACTGTCCTAAGCAGTCACTAGGTAGTGGCCAGGCCCACTGGAACCCAGCCCATTCTCTCAGGCTGGGCAGGGTGGTCTGGGCACCCTGGGTCTGCCTCTCCAGCTTCAGGATGCTTTCATTCCCGGGGCTCAGACCCTCATTTGTGTGCATCTCATTGTGGCCCAGATAGTGCCCGATTGTCCACGGGGTAGGTGCACAGTTCTTGGACCACTCAGAAGACAGGATATGTGGGTGGAAGATGCCTTGTCTAGGTCAGTTCGTTCCTTCCTGAGCCAGCCCAGGGCCTTAGGGGAGAGCCAGCTTGGAGTAGGAAGTTAATACTGTTAATTTTGTTTGTTGTTGGATTTACTTTGCTAGATTTTCTTTTCACCACGTGTGAACTGTGGGTGAGGTTTCATAGCAGCTTTGCCCCACGTGGCTTGATTCCCAGGGACAGTCAGGGCCTTGGGGGCCCAGCTATGTATGGATCTGTGGCAAGAGAAGGAGACAATAAAGTCGCTCCTCAGCTGCTCTGTGTGTTTTGGTTCTGGATGGAGGCCCTAGGCTGGGCCCAGGAGAGGGGTTCCCAGCATGTGCGCTGGACACCGCTGGGTTGTAGTTGATGGGCCCAGACCTTCAGGGTAGACTCCCGGTCCTGACTGTGGCGGCCCTAGCTCCACCTGGGCTGACCTGCTTTGCTCTGAAAACCCACCCGTCCCCACTGTCTGCAAGCAGCTCCAGGGGACAGCCTCAAGTGCAGGCTTACCGTGCAGAAGGAAACACAGAGCCATCACTTCTGTGGCAGCCTCATGTCTGGAAAGACTCCAGTGGTGCCGTAGGAAAATGTTCACAGCCCATGCCTGGGAGGGAGGCAGTGTTCCCGGCGTCTTCTCAGAGCTCCGTGTGCAGGCGGTGTATCGGGGGAGGCCCTGTGTTCAGTTTGGGAACGGGCTTGGCTCTCGAAGCTTTGTCTTCAGTCACGTGGGCTCCAGGAGCAAAGGCGCCACATAGGCCAGTGCCACGTGTCATGTAACCAGAACTGAGACCTTCACTAGCTGATCGTAAATTTTATTTTCCAACAAATGGCATTTTCCAGGTGCCCTGTTCTCACCCCGAAGGTCACACGTCATTTGGCACCTGTGTGTGTGTGTGTGTGTGTACGGGCACACTTCCTCCAGGGCCCTGCCTGGTCGGGGCCAGGGCAGCCCATGCATTCTGGCCTCACTGCCAGGCTCGGGGTGAGTTCCTTGTCCCACCTCTGTGCCGGCCCAAGCTGCCCAGCCACGGCTGCAGCTCCCATCTTGCCTCTGTCTGCCGGCTGCTCCCGGGGCCTGATCCTCTGGCCCTGCCTGGGCCTGCGCTGCACACAGCAGCCACCTGCTCACTGCCCTCACTCCCTGGCACACAGCTTCAGGGTGGACCAATCACCCAACGTCAGATTCTGAAAGAAAAAGCCCTGGTGAGAAGGGAGGGGACAGGTGGGTGTGTAGGCGCACCTGCAGCTGCCCAGACAGGCCCTGCTGCTCCTGCTGTGTGGGCTCCAGGCTGCCAGACACTCACCGGCTGAGGGCTAGGGCTCCCGCCACTTCTTCCCGTTCAGCACCTGCAGCTTCTCCAGGCTCTGGGTCACTGAGCACAGTGCTTGTCCTGAAGATGTGAGCAGATACCACACTTGGCAAGTCTGGGTGGCAGGCTCAGTGGGGCTGAGTGGTGCTGCCCAGGGCTCTGAGCTTCAGGTTGTGACCTGCCCCTTAGCCATCATGGCCCCGGCCCCACAGGCAGCCTTGGGGTAGAGGGACTCAAACCTGCTTTCCCTGGAAAGGGGCCCCTCTGCCTCCCTCAGAAACAAAGGGGGTGCTCAGTCTTCAGTGAAGTCTGGTCCCGGAGACTCACCCATCTCACGAACACGGTCCTCCAGGGCTCCTGAGAGCTCGGGGAGGCTCATGGCCTGCAGGGACACTTGCCAGCCCTTGGATTCTGCGATGCAGGGACCGAGTTAGCTGGGGATCTGTGTCTCCACAGGCACTGCCTCTTTATTCTGAGCCCATGCAGGCAGGAGACCCTCCTTGGATCAGAACCTCCTTGCCTGCCCGCCCCTGTCTAAGCAACCTCTCAGGCTGGGGAGCCCTTCCTCCCATGGGCTGAGGAAAGTACCAAGCTCGCTCAACCGCACAGGAGAATACAAAGCTGTGCCAGTAGGGGTCGGGGTCTGGGCCCTGGCTGGAGGCTGCAGAAGTCACTGGAGGTGTCAGTACAGCACAGCCAGTCACGGCACAGGGTCTTTCCGGTGCCTCCCACCGCTGGGGGACAGTTTTCCTGTCACAGGTGAGGAAGTGGGCTCTCATCCCCAGGGTCCCCTCTCCTGGACTCTGGGGTCACGTGCACACACGGACCCGCGAGAGTGGCTGCTGGTCTGAGAACCAGACCAAGCCCACTGGGTCAAACTCGGCTTCAGGGCTCCCTGCCTTCCCCTCTGACCAGTGTGGAGCCAGGCCACCATTCTTACCCGCTGGCGGGAGGGCAGGGCCCAGAGGGGCTGCACCAGGGGGCTGGTCCCGCCTCACTCGGGCTGACAGCTCATCTTGACAGGCTCTGCCAGACACAGGAACAAGTGCTGGTGAGGGCAGAGGCCTGAAATGCAGAGCCCCCAACTCAGACCTTAAAGGGTCTGACAGCTGCCCTGTCTGTCCCTGCAGCTGGCCTTTGAGGGCTGGGCCAGTGCCATATGAAGCTGCACTAATGAGCAGGAGGGAAACCCATGCAGATTCCCAGCCCTGAGTGCTGCCTGGGTCTGCCTGCAGGAAGCAAAGGCCTGAATGAAATGGAGGTGGGGTGGCCCCAGGCCCTGAAATCTGCCTCTCAGTTACAAAGTCAGGAAGAAAGGACGCCAGGGGTGACCACCGGAGACCCAGCCCAGGGCAGCTCAGAGCCACTCACCGCAGCTGGTCCAGGATGAGGGCAGCATCCCGGGCTAGGGCCCACGTCTCCCGAAGCTGGGCCTGGATATCCTCGCGGGCGCGGTCCTGCTCCAGCAGGCAGCTCTCCACCACGGCCCGCAGCTCCTGCTCCTGGCACACCTGGCCCCGAATGGCCTCTACCTCCTCGCAGCGCTGCAGGGGGCATGGAGGCTGGGAGGTGCCTGCGCAAGCCAGCCCTGTCCTGTGTGTGGAACCCCTCCACACAGCGCTAGCCTTTTCTGTCAGAGCTGGGGCCAGCTCCGGGGTGCCGCCCCCTCCTCCAGCCACAGCCACTCACCTTGTGCAGCTGGATGGCAAGCTCCTGCATCTCAGCCTCTAGCCTGTCGGCATAGGCCAGCTCCAGGGCGTCCCCAGGCGGGCGGGCACTGCTGTGCCAACGGGCGATGGCGGATGTCATCTTCCTCTTGGGCCCAAACAGCCTGCAGGGGGGAACGCAACCACGGCATGCCTCAGCCTCCCAAGGGAACTTAGGTGGGCAGGAAGTTTGCCCCAACCCCAGGCTGAGGGCCAGAGCAGCCCCTCTGGACGCACGTGATGCCAATTTCCTTCAGGTCGCTCTCGGTGAGGGTCAGAAAGATGCGGAGGTCCACGTCCTGCTCCTCAAACAGCTGCAGGTACTTCAGACAGCCAATCTGCTCCAGCAGCGCGGCCAGGTCCTGGCGGGCACAGGGGACAGGTTTTGGGAGGTAGTGACCTACAACGAAGCAGAGCCATTTTCCTCTGCTCGGAGCCCCACCGCTTCCCCCAGCTCAACACCAAGATGGTGCCTTGTGCGCTGGGGCAGCAGCCAGTCTGTCCCCTCCGACTCCGGTGCCTCAGGCAGGGCCGGGTGTTGCAGCAGGCGCATCCTCACACTATGATCGTCCACCTGGGGCACTGTGTGTCCATGACCAGACACTGGCCTCCTCATCCCAGGCTCAGTTCTGTGAAAGGGCGATGGAGCTGCTGATCTGGACGATGCTTTGCGCGCGGAGAACGCTCCTCTCTCGTGCAAGAGTCTCAGTGTCGGACGTTCCGACTTGTCTAAGCACAGGTGTTCTCTGAGTTCACTGAGCTCCCTGGATATAAGATCCGTGTTTCTGATCCACTTGGAATGGTCAGGCTGTTTCTTACCCATTGTTTCTGCTCTTCTCTCCTTCTGGAACGTCACCAGTGTGCTTAAGGGACTCACAGGTTTCTCTCCATTTTTTTTCACTCATTCTCTGTTCCTCAGGCAAAGTACCAAGTGACCTGTGTTCACAAGTTTTCTGATTCTTCTGCCTGCTCAAATCTGCTATTGAGCCCATCTAGTGATATTTTCATTTACTTTTCAACTCCAGAAATCCTACTTTTGAAAGTTTATTGTTGCCTTTAATGGAGGAACAAATTTTTGAAGGTTATTACTCTGCCATTTTCCTCAAACTATTTTCTGAGAAAAACATACTTTAGGACACCACCCTGACCAGACCCCACTCAGGGCATGCTGACAGGCCTGAGATGAGCACCTACACTGAGCCAGGGCTACAAGAAGCCAGCAAATCCAAGGCTTTATCAGCAGCAAAACCAGTGCCTCCACAAATAACCAGCCAGGCCAGGTGCGGTGGCTCACACTGATAATCCCAGCATTTTGGGAGGCCGAGGTGGGCAGATCACAGGGGTCAAGAGTTTGAGACCAGCCTGGTCAACATGGTGAAACCCCATGTCTACCAAAAATAGAAAAAATTAGCTGAGCATGGTGGCGGCTGCCTGTAATTCCAGCTACTTGGGAGGCTGAGGCAGGAGAATCTATTGAACCTGGGAGGCAGAAGTGGCAGTGAGCTGGTATCACGACACTGCACTCCAATCTGGGGGACAGCGCGAGACTCCACCTCAAAAAAAAAAAAAACAAAAAATAGCCAGATCTTCCCTCTGCCTCTCCTCTCTGAGCCTCTTCTGCCTGCACAGGGCAGGACACAGACACAGGTGAGACGGCTGAGCTGTGAACCATGCCTGTATCCCACAGCGAGGATGAGGACGGTGGCCACTGTAACGGTCACTGAGCACAAGCTGAGTGTGATCGCTGTCTCTTCTTCCACCACATCCTGTCACTGACTCCCGAAGGCAGCTCTCAGGCCAGGCGTGTTTTTCTTCTCCCCAGGCTCAGGGAGGCCGCCTCCAGTATGGAAAGGAGGGACACAGGTCCTTCCCGTGGTGAGGAATGGAGTGGAAGTCCTGCAGCTGGGCCGCCAGCCACGGAGCCAGCTGTGAGCCTGTGGAGACTGTCAGGCCACAGGGATGCCACTGCCATTCTGTTCTCCCAGCAGCGGCTGGCACGTCATATACACAACACATGCCTCACACTCAGAGAAAGTGCCGTCTCGAGTGTAACCGCCAGTTTCACAAGTGGTCTTACCTGGGGTCCTGAGTAGGGTGCCCTCTGAGTCTGGGGCCTGGACTCGGGGGGAAGGGCTTCCCTGTCAGTCCCAGGGCAGGGCAGCCACTGGCTGTCGGGATTCTTCGTCTTCAGGTAGCTTTTAGCTTGTCTGCGAACTGAACTTTTACAGGCGTGATCCGAGTCCTGCAGCAAGAGGCATGTATTGGAAGGAGTACGCAGGTTGATTTGAGAGCCTTCCTGAACGCCCCACCCACCATGCAGGGGCTTCCAGTGCCATTCACTGTAGTCTGAGAACCCAGGCCCTGTCCACAGCACATCCCAGCCCAGCACACACACGAGGCACGTGCTTGTTACACATGTGCTTACCTTAAAGTGACTGGGGGATGTTAGGCACCCTCACAATGCCAGGGACCAGCTATGGGGGACCAAGAAAGAAAGAGTCCGTACCTCGTTGCTCTCCACAGAAGCTTCGCTGCTGAGCCCTTGTGCTCTGGCCAGGCCCTCACTGCTGCTGCTGCTCCTGACGGGCCCCAGGTTGACACAGAAAGCATGTCCCTCTGAGGGCAGGAAGACAGGGCGTCCGCCTGCAGGCCTCACCAAGGTATTGCGCGTGGGCATGCCCTGGGTCCAGGCTGAGCTGCCTCAGCCAGGGCATTCCTTGGCGCCTGCAGCGGTTGATGCCTTCTGTTTCAGGCTGCCTGCCTGTCCTAAACCCTCCCCTCTATACAGACCGGCAGGGCTTCTTTTTTTTTTTGTTCACTGCTAAATCCTAAGCACCTGGAGCAATGCTTGGCGCAAGGTGGGCACTGTCAACAGCTGTTGCACAGAGTTGTGATTCTAACAGACATTCCTAGTGGAGTGTGTCCTGAAAGCCTCAGTGGGCTCCCAAGCAAGGGGCTCAAACTGTTAGTGTGGAATGGCGCCACTAAGCTGCACGGGGCTGCTGGACCAGAAGCTTCTCCCTTTCCTCACAAGAACCAGTAGCGTCCACATCTGGCCCTTTCTTGTCCTCTGCTGCATGGCTGTGCCCCAGCGCCAGGCCAGCGGGGTAGGTAAGATGGGCACACAGGAGCTCCAGGACCTGCCTAAGCTGCAGGCTGAATGGGGTGGGGCACACATACCCCGACTGCTGCTGCTGCTGCTGCTTTCTATGTCCCGCTCGTTGATGGGGGAGGTGACATCCCGGCAGCAGAGGCCCTCTCCTTCCAGCGGGTTCTCACCACTGCTGTTGAAGGTGACATAGCCGCGGAGAGGTGCCTGCTCTGTGTACAGAATGGGGGCCATAAGCCCAGGGAACTCCAAAGTGAAGCTGCTTCTGGTTCCAGATGCCCCGACCTCCTCAGAGGCCAAGGCCCAGGATGGAGGCAGGTGACTTCCCAGCCATCACCTCATCCACTTGCCCCTGCAACCTGGCATGGCTGTATCTGTGGTGTTTGGTGGGAAAGATACTCTGGGTCAGTCAGTGGTTCAGGCAAATGCCTGGTGGGGTCAGGGGTGGCAGCTGGGTCAAGCCTGGGACATCTCCATTGCACCGCACGACCTCTTTTTCAAGGGGAAAACGTACAAAATGGTAAGCTGTGTTTACAGACGCCTGACCAGATACTCCTTTTAGCAGGAAGTACCTAATGACCTCACACAGATGCCCGCTGACTGCGCATCTTTATGTCCTGTTACCTTTTTTAACCATAGGCCCTTCCTTACAGGCTGGCCTCCTCAGGTCAGTCAACCGCAGTGAGAGAGATCTGGCTAAGCAGGAAGGAAAAAGGCCTTGGGCTAAAAATTAGCAGCAATAATAGGAAATTACCTAACTCTACCTCCCCCTAAAACCACGCAGAAAAAGGCATGCATACCCAGCAGTTCCACTCCAGTTTCGCCCCTGCCCCTTCTCCAAAGAAAGCACATTTATTCACATCAAGACTAACTTGACCAGGCATGGTGGCACATGCTTGTGGTCCCAACTTTGCGGGAGGCCGAGACAGGAGGATCACTTGAGCCCAAAATTCAAGCCTGCAATGAGCTATGATCATGCTTACGTGACAGTGAAACCCTGTCTCAGAAAAACCCAAAAGACTGGTTGGTAGGACCATGGGGAACTTACTTTCTTCTTTACATATTTTCCTAGTTATGGAGAAGTTTTTACAATCAGCACATGCTATTTATCATTCCCCCCAAATTTTTTTGAGACAGGCTCTTGCTCTGTTATCCAGACTGGAGTGCAGTTGCACCATCATGGCTCACTGGATCCTCGATCTCCTGGGCCCAAGCAATCCTTCCACCTCAGCCTCAAGTAGCTGGGCTGCAAGTATGGGACACCATATCTGGCTAATGTTCAACATTTTTTGTAGAGAGAGGATCTTCCTACATTTCCCAGACTGGTCTCACAACTCCTGGGCCCAAGCAATCCTGCCTCAGCCTCCCCAAAGTGCTGGGATTACAGGCATGAGCCACTGTACCTAGCCCTCCAATTTTTTTTTTTTTTTTTTTTTTTTTTTTTTTTTTTTTTGAGACAGAGTCTCACTTTGTTGCCAGGCTGGAGTACAGTGACAAGATCTCAGCTCACTGCAACCTCCGCCTCCCGGGTTCACATGATCCTTCAGCCTCAGCCTCCTGAGTAGCTGGGATTATAGGCATGTGCCACCATGCCTGTGCCACCATGTGCAGCTAATTTTTGTATTTTATAGTAGAGACGGGGTCTCAATGTGTGGGCCAGGATGGTCTCAATCTCTTGACCTCATGATCCACCCGCCTTGGCCTCCCAAAATACTGGCATTACAGGCCTGAGCCACTGTGCCCAGCCTCCAATTTTTTTAATTATTGGCAAAGAGAATATATGCACTTATGGAAAATTTAAATTTCGTAAGGTATGAGAGGAAAAAACAAAAATCCCCTGAAATGCCACACCTGAGACCACTACCATCATCACTGCTCTGTGGATACATAAAAAGAACTGCACACAAACAGCTTCAGACATGTATTATTTTGATAAAGCATCTGTTGTATGGCTATATAGATTAATTACCACCCCAGCCCCAGGATGAAACCCCTCCTTCCTCCCCCCACCACACCACAGGCTGCAGCAGGTGCCCGAGATCCTTCAGAAGGAAGAGACTGCTGCTCAGAATGACCAGCCCAGTGTCCCAGAGCCAGTGCTCACAGCTCAGTGGCTGGAACACAGGTGGGCCCTCTTGCTATGGTGGGAGGTGGCCAGCAGCTGGAGAGAGGCCTTCCCAGTGGCCCAGTCAACCGCCCCTCCCAGGACGATGGGAGAAATTGGGTCCCCAGTTCCCAGCCCAGCACCCGGGCTTGGGAAGACAGAAGTCTGCACATCTGCTTCTTCCTGCAGTCTTTGAAAGGAATCCAGTGATTCATGTACCCTTGGCTGAAACACTGTCTATTCTCACTGGGCAAGTCAGACTATTCCAAGTCCTGGCCTCAAAGAGGCCTGGCTCCTGCAAGGGACCAGCCACCAGGCCTGCGAGACCAGCAGCCTTGGCCTGGCCATGGGTGGGTGACAGCCATCAAAAGAGGACACAACTCAAAGCTCAGTCTGAGCTCAGCAAGAGAGAGTGGGTACCAAACCCAACTCAACTAAAAACAGCCCCCAGCACTCCCCAAGAGCAAAACACTCAACACTATGTGGCTGACAACCTGAGAATAAACTTGAGATCTGAAAACCCGAAGGTTAGGATTCTTTACCACCAAGTGCGCCCTCTCTCAGGAGGGTCTGAGCTCAGCTCTATCACCCTGAGAAAACAACTGGGCCTGCCTGCCCTTAGCTTCCTGCCCCTGAGAGCATACATGACCCAGCTGGTATGGGTAGGGCAGGGAAGTGGAACTTCAGACTTTGCATCCTCCCTGTATGAGCCAACCCACCTATTCGATGAATGAAATCTGACATGAGCTACATTTCTGCTGCAGGACAGAGATTTATTCCTAAATTTAACCAATGAAAAGGAAAGTCAAGGAGGTAAAGCAAAAAACCAGAATGAGCTCATGACCAATGCATTCCATCACTGGACTCAATCCTGATTCTCCCTGAGCATGAAAGCCTGGGCTACTTGTCCTGCTGCCACTTGAGGTCCAGGGACCCATGTGTCAGGAGCCTAAGAGCTATTCCATTCTTGCCAACACAGAATCTTGATGTGCAACAACAGAGAGAGACACGGGCCACTCACCATAGCGACACCGTGGGGCCCTGCCCCCAAGGCCAATGCCTGTGATCCTGGCCAGTGCTCTCGGCCCCTCGTGGATGCTGACACCCTTCTTCCGGCACGGCCTCTGTCTCTGAGGAGCAGGGCAGGACTCATCAGAAGAACTCAGATCTTCGTATTTTTCTGTAGGTCAAACACCAAGATTAAGACAGTCTGTTCAGTGATGGACTCCTTTACTAATACTTAGAGTAAACTGAAAGTAACTGTCACAGGTTTTGTTAAATTAAGGAGAGGGTATCTGCCAGGACATCACTTTTGGGAAATGCCCACAGAGGCCGGGGTGCTGCTCCAGTGGGCCACAGGGAGCTGCAAAGTTAGTGAGAACAGGGAGCTTAATTTTTTGTCTTGAGAGTCTCATTCTGTCCCCCAGGATGAAGGGCAGTGGCGCCATCTCAGCTCACTGCAACCTCCGCCTCCTGGGTTCCAACAATTCTCATGCCTCAGCCTCCCGAGTAGCTGGGATTACAGGTGCATGCCACCATGCTCAGCTAATTTTTTTTCTTCTTTTTTTTAGAAGAGATGGGCTTTCGCCGTGTTGGCCAGGCTGCTCTCGAAGTCCTAACCTCAGGTGATCTGCCCACGAGGCCTCCCAAAGTGCTGGGATTACAGGCTTAAGCCACCGAGTCCGGTGAGGAGTTTCATTCTTATCTCTTTGTCGGGGTTTGCAAATTCATAAAAAGCCTGTATTGTTTATAATCAGAAATAAATTTTGTTCTAAGTCGAAGGAATAACTAAAATTCATCTCTTCATTAAAATATGGTAGTTATCAGTCACAACTTTTTTTTTTCCCAGATCCCTTCCTTTGGAAACAACTTTTTTTTTTTTTTTTTTTTTTTTTGAGACGGAGTTTCGCTCTTGTTACGCAGGCTGTAGTGCAATGGCGCCATCTCAGCTCACTGCAACCTCCGCCTCCTGGGTTCCAACAATTCTCATGCCTCAGCCTCCTGAGTAGCTGGGATTACAGGCATGCGCCACCATGCCCAGCTAGTTTTTTGTATTTTTAGTAGAGACGGGGTTTCACCATGTTGACCAGGATGGTCTCGATCTCTCAACCTCGTGATCCACCCGCCTCGGCCTCCCAAAGTGCTGGGATTACAGGCTTGAGCCACCGCACCCAGCCTGGAAGTAACTTCTTAAGGAATTCTGTATTTTCTTAAGCATGGCATATGTTTGCTATGATTATTAACTCTTTCGTATCACTACCTAGTCTGACCTTTCAGAGCTCAACCCAGAGCTTTTACTATTTTATAGCTTTTCAGTTTTTCACATTTGATTCATATAAGGCTCTGGTCCAATTCTACTTTTAAGAGATATGAGACCGGGTGTGGTAGCTCACGCCTGTAATCCCAGCACTTTGGGAGGCCAACGCGGGTGGATCACGAGGTTAGGATTTTTTTTTTTTTTTTTTAAAGATGGGGTTTCACCATATTGGTCAGGCTGGTCTCGAACTCCTGACCTCAGGTGATCCGCCCACCTCAGCCTCCCAAAGTGCTGGGATTACAGCCGTGAGCCACTGCGCCGGGCTTGAGGTTAGGAGTTCAAGACCAGCCTGGCCAAGATGCTGAAACCCCATCTATACTAAAAATATAAAAATTAGCCGGACATGTTGGCACGCACTTGTAATCCCAGCTACTTGGGAGGCTGACGTAGGGAACTGCTTGAATCCAGGAGGCGGAGGCAGCAGTGAGCCAAAATGGTGCCACTACACTGCAGCCTGGGCAACAGAGCAAGACTCCCTCTCAAAAAAACAAAAAACAAACAAAAAAAACAAGAGTTGTATATAGGAGGAAATGAGATCTCCTTGTAGACTTGGTAAACTGGGGTGGAGATGCAGGGAGAGGTCCTTTGTGTTACCATTTTACCACCTAAGCAATTTTTATTATGAAACAATCCCCATGCCAGGGAAGGAGCTGGGCGCTGAGCCTGACCGTGAGAAAGAAGCTGCTCACTTGGGACAACTCAGGGCAGGCCAGTGAGGTGGGAGAGGCTGAGGCCCTGACCCTCCGCCACTCTGCCCTTCCCCATGAAAAGGCTCACACTCTGCTGAGTGAGCCAGCGGTGCGGACACACGCCCCCTCACACTCAAAGATCTGCAGCACCCCAGGGAGACTGCGCTTCCATCCAAGCTGAAAGGGAAGGAGCTGTAAGACAGTAAACGTACAGAGGCAGCTGTGTGAATCTGAGCACCCAACACGCCCTCAAAATGACTTAAAAAAGAACAGGCAGATGGAGATCACAAAAAAGCCAGGGCTGCAATCCTGCTATCAAAGTAGAATTCAGGCCAAAAAGCATTACATGTGACACAGAAGGACACTTTTTTTTTTTTTTTGAGATGGAGTCTCACTCTGTCACCCAAGCTAGAATGCAGTAGCACGATCTTGGCTCACTGTAACCTCCAGGTTCAAGCAATTCTCCTGCCTCAGCTTCTTGAGCAGCTGAGATTACAGGCGTGTGCCACAATACCTGGCTACTTTTTTTTATTTTTAGTAGAGACAGGGTTTCACCACGTTGGCCGGGCAGGCCTTGAACTCCTGACCACAAGTAATCTGCCTGCCTTGGCCTCCCAAAGCGCTGGGATTACAGGCATGAGCCATCACGCCAGACCAGGACACTTCTAATACTAAAAGCTGTAATTCACAATGAATCTGTAACAAATTATGAGTATCTGGAGTATCTGCCACCAAAAAAATACACCATCTTCCTTCATAAATCAGAAACACGCTAAGACAGACTTACAGATATGCTAAACTGTAGCATAGCTAATAGAGAATACAACTTCTTCTCAAGCAAAACAAGGAATATTTGCAAATACTGATTAGACTGGTCATGGTGGCTCATGCCTGTAATCCCAGTACTTTGGGAGCCCAAGGTGGGTGGATCACTTGAGGTCAGTAATTCGAGACCAACCTGGCTAACGTAATGAAACCCCATCTCTACTAAAAATACAAAAATTAGCCAGTGTGGTGTTGGGCACCTGTAATCCCAGCTCCTTGAGAGGCTGAGGCAGGAGAATCGCTTAAACCTGGGAGGTGGAAGTTGCAATTAGCTGAGATTGCGCCACTCACTCCAGGCTGAGTGACAGAACAAGACTTCATCTGAAAAAAATATATATATACACATATATAGATCAGTAGGTGACAAATAAGATGACAAGGAAATTCTGTAAATTTAAGAATTATAAACACTCTCTGACCAGATACATTAAAGTTGATAATAACATGAGAAGTTAATCACAAGATCAAAAAGGACCTTCCACCTAGAAATTAACAAACAAAAACAACCATAAAACTTCTATTAGACAACTCCTGAAGGAGAAGATATAAATTATAGAATTTCTGAAAAATAAAAAAAGCACTAAATACAGAACCCCCAGAATATACCTAAAGTGGCAGTCAGCAAAACTTCACAGCCTCCAACATTTAACAAAAGAGAAACAATGAAAGAAATTCCCAACTCAAAAAACTCGAACAACTAAGCGAAAGAAAAATAAAAGCAGAAATTTAAGAACTGACAATCAGTAGATCTAATTAATAAACCAAAATCCTATGGGTTTTCCACTAAATAGACAACTAGTATTTAACACAAACATACAAAATAAGAAATGAGGCCAGGCACAGTGGCTCATGCCTACAATATCGGCACTGTGAAAGATTGAGGTGGGAGGATCGCTTGGGCCCCGGAGTTCGAGACCAGCCTGGGCAACATATTGAGACACTGCCTCTACTTTTTTTAATATAAAAATTTTTTTAAATTTAAGAAATGAGATCCAACAATTCCACTACTGGGTATTTATCCAAAGAAAGGAAATCAATGTACCAAAGAGCTATCTACAACCTCATGTTTACTCCAGCACTATTCACAGTGGCCTAGATATACAATCAACACGTGTCCATCAGAGGATGAATGAAGAAAGAAAATGAAGCTGGGCATAGTGGCACGTGCCTGTAATCCCAGCTACTCAGGAAGCTGAGGCAGCAGAATTGCCTGAACCCAGGAGGCGGAGGTTGCGGTGAGCCGAGATCGCGCCATTGCACTCCAGCCTGGGTAACAAGAGCGAAACTCTGTCTCAAAAAAAAAAAAGAAAGAAAGAAAATGAGTTTATATACACAATGGAGTATTATTCAGACATAAAGAATGAAATCTGGTAATTTGTGGCAAAAGGAATAAACCTGAAAGATACTATGTTAAGTAAAATCAGCCAGAACAGCAAGACAAATGCCAGTTGGGCGCAATGACTCACACCTATAATCCCAACACTGCAAGCCCAAGGTGAGAGGATTGCTTGAGCCAGGAGTTCAAAACCAACGTGGCCAGTATAGCAAGACCCTGTCTCTACAAAATAAAAATAAAAATTAGCCAGGTGTGGTGGTGGGTGCTTATAGTCCCAGCTACTCGGGAGGGTGAGATGGGAGGATCCTTGAGCCCAGGAATTGGAGGCTGCAGTAAGCCAATACGTCAAGTCACCATACTCCAGCCTGGGTGACAGAGCAAGAACCTGTCTCAAAAAACAAAACAAAAAAGGCCGGGCGCGGTGGCTCAAGCCTGTAATCCCAGCACTTTAGGAGGCCGAGGCGGGTGGATCACAAAGTCGAGAGATCGAGACCAACCTGGTCAACATGGTGAAACCCCGTCTCTACTAAAAATACAAAAATTAGCTTGGTGTGGTGGCACGTGCCTATAATCCTAGCTACTCAGGAGGCTGAGGCAGGAGAATTGCCTGAACCCAGGGGGCGGAGGATGCGGTGAGCCGAGATCGCGCCATTGCACTCCAGCCTGGGTAACAAGAGCGAAACTCCATCTCAAAAACAAAAAAACAAAAAAAACAAACAAAAAAAACCCAAGACTACATGACTACATGATCTCACCCATTTACTGAATTTTTAAACACTCATGTCTTACACGTAGACTGGAACAGTGGTTATCAGAGGTTGGGGGTGAGGAGGTAGTGGAAGAGAATGGTCAATAGGTACAAAATTACAGATCAACGAAACAAGTTCTGGTGTTCACAGCAGAGTGACTATACGTAACAGTAGTGTGTATCTCGAGATTGCTACTAGGAGAGAGGATTTTAAATGTTCTTACATCAAAGAAATGATAAATGTTTGAGGCGATGGATAAGCTAATTATCCAATTTGATCATTAGACAGTGTATACCTGTATCAAAGCATCACACATGGTACCCCATAAATACGTAGTTGTGTCAATTAAAATGAGATAAATACTTTCCAGGTCAGGTGCAGTGGCTCATGCCTGTAGTCCCAGCACTTTGGGAGGCTGCAGCAGATGGACTGCTAAAGCTCAGGTGTTTTGAAACCAGCCTGTTCAACATGGCAAAACCCCATCTCTACAAAAAATACAAACACGAGCTGGACACGGTAGGGTGTACCTGCAGTCCTAGCTACTCATGGGGCTGAGGTGGAAGAACTGCTCTCAGCCCAGGAGGCGGAGGTTGCAGTGAGCTGAGATCTGGTCACTGCACTCCAGCCTGGATGACAAAGAAACACCCTGTCTCAAAAAGTAAATCAGTAGGCTGGGCGCGGTGGCTCAAGCCTGTAATCCCAGCACTTTGGGAGGCCGAGGCGGGTGGATCATGAGGTCGAGAGATCGAGACCATCTTGGTCAACATGGTGAAACCCCATCTCTACTAAAAATACAAAACATTAGCTGGGCATGGTGGCACGTGCCTGTAATCCCAGCCACTCAGGAGGCTGAGGCAGGAGAGTTGCCTGAACCCAGGAGGCAGAGGTTGCGGTGAGCCGAGACTGTGCCATTGCACTCCAGCCTGGGTAACAAGAGCAAAACTCAGTCTCAAAAAAAAAAAGTAGGCTGGGCACGGTGGCTCAAGCCTGTAATCCCAGCACTTTGGGAGGCCGAGGTGGGTGGATCACGAGGTCGAGAGATCGAGACCATCCTGGTCAACATGGTGAAACCCCATCTCTACTAAAAATACAAAAAATTAGCTGGGCATGGTGGCACATGCCTGTAATCCCAGCTACTCAGGAGGCTGAGGCAGGAGAATTGCCTGAACCCAGGAGGCGGAGGTTGCGGTGAGCCGAGATCGCACCATTGCACTCCAGCCTGGGTAACAAGAGCGAAACTCTGTCTCAAAAAAAAAAGAAAAAGTAAATCAGTATTTTCCACTCCGGAAAAAAAAAAATGAGAGAAAATAACCACTGAAACACAGTATTTTATCTACTTACTCTTTTTGAGACGGAGTTTCACTTTGTCACCCAGGTTGGATGACAGTTGTGCGATCGTGGCTCACTGCAATCTCCCCCTCCTGGGTTCAAGTGGTTCTCCTCTCTCAGCCTCCAGAATAGCTGAGACTACAGGCATATCCCACCACACCCAGCTAATTTTTCTATTTTTAGTGGAGACAGGGTTTTACCATGTTGGCCAAGCTGGTCTTGAACTCCTGACCTCAAGTGATCCAGCTGTCTCAGCCTCCCAAACTGCTGGGATTACAGGCATGAGCCACGGCACCTGGCCTGAAACACAGTATTTTAAAAGGAGGAAAAGAGTATGTTGTAGACCTCCGCAAATAAGTCTGAAACCCTAGATGAAGTGATCTCTCAGGAAAATATAATTTACCAAAACTGACCCTGTAAGAAGAGAAAATGTGAGGAGGCCAGTCTCTACAGAAGAAATGAAAAACTTTTGTTGAGGAACCACCTCACAGACAGAGACCAGATGGTTTCATGGGAGGAACTTCTAAGACTAGGTAGCACTAATGCTACATATATTGTCCTAGAACACAAAAAAGGAAGGAAAACTTCCAAATTATTTTTATGAAGTCTAACACTGATACCCATACATCATAAAGACAGAATAAAAATAGAAAATTATAGCCCAGGCCAGGGGTGGTGGCTCAGGCCTCTAATCCCAGCACTTTGGGAGGCTGAGGTGGGCAGATCACCAGAGGTCAGGAGTTCAAGACCAACCTGGCCAACATGGTGAAACCTCATCTCTACTAAAAATACAACAATTAGCTGGGTATAGTGGTGAACATCTGTGATCCCAGCTACTCTGGAGACTGCAGGAGGAGAATTGCTTGAACCCTACAGGCGGAGGTTGCCGTGAACTGAGATCTCACCACTCCACTCTGGCCTAGGCAACAGAGCAAGACTCTTGTCTCAAAAGAAAAAAGAAAATTATAGAACAGTATCACTTATGAATGCATATCCATAGGAAAGTACTAAATATTAATAAACAGAATTTAGCCGGGCGCGGTGGCTCAAGCCTGTAATCCCAGCACTTTGGGAGGCCAGGGCAGGTGGATCACGAGGTCAAGAGATCGAGACCATCCTGGTCAACATGGTGAAACCCCGTCTCTACTAAAAATACAAAAAATCAGCTGGGCATGGTGGCGCGTGCCTGTAATCCCAGCTACCCAGGAGGCTGAGGCAGGAGAACTGCCTGAACCCAGGAGGCGGAGGTTGCGGTGAGTCGAGATCGCGCTATTTGCACTCCAGCCTGGGTAACAAGAGTGAAACTCTGCCTCAAAATAAATAAATAAAATAAACAGAATTTAAAAGCACATTAAAATAATACAACATGTGAGATTTCTGCCAAGAACCTCAAGTTGATTCATTATTAGGAGGTTCATGAAGATAATCTACTGTATGACTAGAGCTACAGGTAACATTCCAGTTGTCTCCAAAGATGTGGAAAGAAAATTCAATAGTGACTCCTATAAAATAATACTCAAGAATAGAAGAACTGATGAATACTTTTGTTTTTTGAGATGAGTCTCACTCTGTTGCCCAGGCTGGAGTGCAGTGGCATGACCTCTGCTCACTGCAACCTCTGCGTCCCAGGTTCAAGCAATTCTCTGCCTCAGCCTCCTGAGTAGCTGGGATTAAAGGCACCTGCCACCACACCTGGATAACTTTTGTATTTTTAGTAGAGATGGGGTTTCACTATCTTGGCCAGGCTGGTCTTGAACTCCTGACCTGGTGATCCACCCGCCTCAGCCTCCCAAAGTGCTGGAATTACAAGCGCCCAGCCAGTACTTTGTTAATATGCTAAAAATAACATATGCCTTTCCTTTTAAAACCAGCCTCTCGGCCGGGCATGGTGGCTCAAGCCTGTAATCCCAGCACTTTGGGAGGCCGAGGCAGGTGGATCACGAGGTCAAGAGATCGAGACCATCCTGGTCAACATGGTGAAACCCCGTCTCTACTAAAAATACAAAAAATTAGCTGGGCATGGTGGCGTGTGCCTATAATCCCAGCTACTCAGGAGGCTGAGGCAGGAGAATTGCCTGAACCCAGGAGGCGGAGGTTGCGGTGGGCCAAGATCACGCCATTGCACTCCAGCCTGGGTAACAAGAGCGAAACTCCATCTCAAAAAAAAAAAAAAAAAAAAAACAGCCTCTCACATAATGTGGCGGTGTTTCCACTAAGATCAGGACCAAGGTAAGGATGCATATTATCTCCATGATGTTGAACAATGAGCTAGAGGTGTTAACAACTAAACAAAAGAACAATGCAATTCAACAGTCAGAGTCACAAGAATCATCAGGAAGCAGTGTATCCACTGATACTTAAATATTATATCGTAGTACACCTGTAAACCCCTAAAGAATCAATAACAAAACTAACCTAACCAATAACAGAATTCCATAAGGTAGCAGAATATAAAATTAGTTTGCAGAACTCCACTGCCTTCAAATGCACTGACAATATGACACCACTACAGAACTTACTCATGGTCAGGCGCAGTGGCTCACGCCTGTAATCCCAGCTCTTTGGGAATGCAAGGTAGCGGGGATCATGAGGTCAGAGATGGAGACCATCCTGGCCAACATGGTGAAATCCTGTCTCTACTAAAAACACAAAAATTAGCTGGGCATGGTGGCACGCACCTGTAATCCCAGCTACTTGGGAGGCTAAGGCAGGAGAATCACTTGAACCCGGGAGGCAGAGTTTGTGGTGGGCCAAGATCGCACCACTGTACTCCAGCCTGGGCAAAAGACTGAGACTCTGCCTCAAAAAGAAAAAAAAAAAAAAAAGAACTTATTCATGTATCCAACCACCACCTATTCCCTAAAAACCTACTGAAATAAAAAATAAATACAAATTAAAGAGCACTGAGTATTAATACCCTGAGAGTTGGGAGGAAAAAAGATAAAGTGGTAGGGAAAACTCCATTTACAACAGCAACAAAGATGATCAAACTCTTACGAATAACCTTAAGTCATATGCAAAATGTAGATGAAGAAAAATGTAAAACCCCCCTGCACAACCCAGAAGTACACTGGAACAAGAAGACATCCTTTGTTCTTGGATAGGACAACTCAACATCACAAAGATACAGTTAACTTAAATATTTTTCACAATCTCAATAAAAATATTAATAGTGTTTTAAAGGAGCTAGACAAGTTGATATTCAAGTTCATATAGAAAAATAAACAAGCCATAGCTCAGGAAACAGGGAGAACAGAAAACTAAGAGTGGACTGGCCTACGCAGTGGTAAGGGATGCTACAGAAAGCTGGTTTTGGTGCCACACTCCACTGTAACCAACTTTCTCTCCTGTTACAGCAGCGGCCTCGACCTTGCCATGGAAGCAGCTGGGGGAGACAGAGCCAAATCCCAGAGGAGCAGGTGGCAGCCAGGGAAGTAGGGGGGTACCTTTCTTTTTCTTTCTTTTTTTTTGGAGACAGAGTCTCGCTGTGTCACGCAGGCTGGAGTGCAGTGGCAGGATCTTGGATCACTGCAACTTCCACCTCCTGGGTTCAAGTGATTCTCATGCCTCGGCCTCCTGAGTAGCTGGGGACTACAGGAGCTTGCCACCATACCTGGCTGATTTTTTTTGTATTTTTAGTAGAGACGGGGTTTTACCATGTTGGGCAGGCTGGTCTTGAAATCCTGACCTCAAGTGATCCTCCCGCCTCAGCCTTCCAAACTGTTGGGTATACAGGCATGAGCCACCATGCCCCGCTGCTGGTGGGGCGGCATCTTTCTCTGCCAGGTTATCTAAAGCTCAAGACAGCCACAGACCCCAGCAGAGTGCAGCTGGCAGGTGCGGGTACCTGGGCTCCGATAGAGGCTCTTGGGCAGAGAGGGTGAATGAGTGTCCATCAAGGCCACGATCTTCATGTGCCCGTACTGCTTGGCCAGCATCCGGGCTGTGGCTCCACTGTGGTCTCTTGCATCCACCTTGACTCCCTGCAAATGTCCATGAAAGGAGGATTAGGGGCCTCTCCTTCAAAGCACCTGCCCTTCCTGGGCTGGTGGCTGGGAAGAGAGGTCGTGTGCTGGCTTCCTACTGCCTCCCTGTGTGGGAAAAATCACGTCTACTTGAGAAAGAGGGGCAGGCTTGTCTGCATCACAACCACGAGTTTTGCTCTCACTATCTCCTTAGGATGAGGGGGGATGGGGAGTCATCTCCCAGCTGCAGCAGCTCTCAGCTTCCCACTGCTGCCTCCCGTGTTCAAGCCCTCACTTGCAGGGGAAGCCCAGCCTTCACCTTCTGCACCTAGGCTGTGTGCCACTCGCTTTGCTTCTCTTCACTCAAAGAAAACTGGAGACAGCAGTTCACAACAGAAGCAGCCTTTTAAACCACGTTCAGAATGAAACCACCATCCTCTGAAGCAGAATTCATAACTTTTGTCCAAAGCTCTATAATGTATTTACAGGTCTTGCAGCACAACAATCCCACTTCTATGACTCTAAGGAAATAGCCTAAATACAGAGAAAGCTTCAGTGCACAAAGATGTTTGGCACAACACATTCACAATAATGAAAATGTACCTAGAGACAAATGCTCAGGGGGATGAGAAGTCAGCTATATTACTGCCATAAATGATGTCATTTACAAACGGCTGTGTAATCAAGTTGAAAAAAGGATCATGGCCAAATGGGGCTCATGCCTATAATCCTAGCATTTGGGAGGCCAAGGCAGGTGGATCACTCAAGCTCAGGAGTTGGGAGAACAACCTGGGCAACAAAGAGAGATCCCATCCCTACAAAAAAGACAACTCTGGCTGGGCGTGGTGGCTGTCTCCTGTAATCCCAGCACTTTGGGAGGCCGAGGTGGGTACATCATGAGGTTAGGAGATCAAGACCATCCTGGCTAACACAGTGAAGCTCCATCTATTAAAAATACAAAAAATTATCCAGGGATGGTAGCCCACGCCTGTAATCAGTCCCAGCTACTCAGGAGGCTGAGGCAAGAGAATCACTTGAACCCGGGAGGTGGAGGTTGCAGTGAGCTGAGACTGCACCACTAGAATCCAGCCTGGGTGACAGAGCGAGAGTCCATCTTGGGAAAACAACAAAAACAACAACAACCTCTAATCAATACAGCATGATTTTGGTGCACTGGGACTGTCTGTCTCTACTGTTAGACCAGGCAGCTGGGGAGGCAGGGAAGCAAGAGCCAAAACTCAGAGGAGCATCTGGGAGCCAGGCAAGGGGAGCATCTTTAATAAAAATGAGCAGCGTGTGATGGCACATGCCTATAGTCCCAGCTACTCAGGAGGCTGAGGCAGGAGGATCACTTAAGCCCCAGAGGACAACGCTGCAGAAAGCTGAGATTGCACAGCTGCACTCCAGCGTGGGCAATAGAGTGGGACTTTGTCTCAAAAAACTAAAAAAGGAACATGATACAAAACTATGCATACATTACAACTGCAGCAAAATGAGACAAAACAAGTAAGTACACAAAAAGCAATACTGGAAGGTAACATGCCCAAAATATTATATATATATATTTTTTATTGGAGACGGAGTTTCACTCTTATTACCCAGGCTGGAGTACAGTGGCGCGATCTCGGCTCACTGCAACCTCCGCCTCCTGGGTTCAGGCAATTCTCCTGCCTCAGCCTCCTGAGTAGCTGGGACTACAGGCAGTCACCACCATGCCCAGCTAATTTTTGTATTTTTAGTAGAGACGGGGTTTCACCACGTTAACCAGGATGGTCTCGATCTCTTGACCTCGTGATCCACCCGCCTCAGTCTCCCAAAGTGCTGGGATTACAGGCTTGAGCCACCGCGCCCAGCCCCAAATTATTAAGTTATTTATTATTTTTGATGAGGATTTTTCCAATTTTCCAATCTTCTATGTTTTTAAAATGTACTACCATAAGCATGTTTCCTTTTTTTTTTTTTCTTCAAGATAGGATCTTATTCTGTCACACAGGCTGAACTGCAGTGTCCCCAAAGAAAATAATGCAGGACATTCACTGAAATTTAGAATTTTCACTGCAGCATTTAGCATAGTGAGAATTAGAAAGAACCTAAATTAAGAGATTAGTAAGCTACGTGAGAGCATATCCAGAAAACAGAGCGCCTCCCATCCATTTATGTGGTGGGTGGGAGTACCTGCAGTGACACAGACTAGGGTGCACAAAATACCATCAACAGAAAAAAAAAAAAAGCCAGGCCAGGTGCAGTGGCTCACGCCTATAATCCCAGCATTTTGGGAGGCTGAGGTGGGCAGATCATTTGAGGTCAGGAGTTCGAGACCAGCCTGGCCGACATGGCAAAACCCTGTCTCTACTAAAAGTACAAAAATTACGAGGGTGGTGGTGTGCGCCTGTAGTCCCAGCTACTGGAGAGGCTGACACAGGAGAATTGCTTGAATCTGGGAGGCAGAGGTTGCAGTGAGCCAAGATCGCACCACTGCACTCCAGCCTGGGTGACAGAGCAAGACTCCATCTCAAAACAAAACACACACAAAAAAAGGAGTGCTCACTTTGGCAGCACATATACTCAAACTGGAACGATACAGAGAAGATTAGCATGGCCCCTGCACAAGGATGACACGCAAATTAATGAAGTGTTCCATATTTTTTAAAAAAAAGGAAAGAAGGCCGGGTGCGGTGGCTCAAGCCTGTAATCCCAGCACTTTGGGAGGCCGAGGCGGGTGGATCACGAGGTCGAGAGATCGAGACCATCCTGGTCAACATGGTGAAACCCCATCTCTACTAAAAATACAAAAAATTAGGTGGGCATGGTGGCACGTGCCTGTAATCCCAGCTACTCAGGAGTCTGAGGCAGGAGAATTGCTTGAACCCAGGAGGCAGAGGTTGCAGTGAGCCGAGATCGTGCCATTGCACTCCAGCCTGGGTAACAAGAGTGAAACTCCGTCTCAAAAAAAAAAAGAAAGAAAACCCAGGTCACGGCCGGGCGCGGTGGCTCACACCTACAATCCCAGCACTTTGGGAGGCCGAAGTGGGTGGATCACCAGATCAAGAGATCGAGACATCCTGGTCAAAATGGTGAAACCTCATCTCTACCAAAAAACAAAAGAAAAAATTTTAAAAAATTAAAAAATAAAAGATTAAGAAAAAAAAAGGAAGAAAAACCCAGGTCAATTGTCTATGCATTAACACATGCTGTCTCTGAATGATCATGAGTAACTTTCATTTTCCTTTTGATCTACTGTATTTTCCAATTCATTAATAACAAGTATGTATCAACTCTATAATAAACATTTATGTATGTACTTCCGCCCTCTCCATTCTAAAAAACTAGGATCAACTTATGGTCTTGGGCCTAGTACAGAAAGTGATCACTACACATCTCTTAAGAATCAGCAGGGCGATGGCTCACACATGTAATCCCAAGGCCAAGGCCGGTGAGCCACGAGGCCAAGAGATGGAGACCATCCCTGCCAACATGGTGAAACCCCATCTCTACTAAAATATAAAAATGAGCTAAGCATGGTGGCACACACCTGTAGTCCCAGCGACTTGGGAGACTGAGGCAGGAGACTCACTTGAACCTGGGAGGTGGAGGCTGCAGTGAGCCAAGATTGTGCCACTGCACTCCAGCCTGGCACCTGGTGACAGAACAAGACTCCATCTCAAAAAAAAAAAAAAAAAAAAAAAAAAAAAAAGGTAGAGGGGGAATCACAGGTTCTGTGCAGTGGCTCACACCTATAATACCAGCACTTTTGGCGGTCGAGTCAGGTGGATCACCTGAGGTCAAGAGTTCAAGACCAGCCTGGCCAATGTGGTGAAACCTCATCTCTTCTAAAAACACAAAAAATTAGCTGGGCGTGGTGGCCCACACCTCTGGTTCCAGCTACTCGGAGAGACTGAGGTAAGAGAATCACTTGAACTCAGGAGGCGGAGGTTGCAGTGAGCCAAGATCACACCACTGCATTCTAACCTGGGTGACAGAGGGAGACTTCATCTCAAAAAAAAAAAATAAAAAAAAAATAAGCACAGTGGCTCACACCAGTAATTCCTAGCACTTTGGGAGGCCGTGGTTGGCAGATCACCTGAGGTCAGGAGTTCAAAAAAAGCCTAACAAACATGGTGAAACCCTGTCTCTACTAAAAATACAAAAATTAGTCAGGCATAGTGGCACACACCTATAATCCCAGCTACTGGGGAGGCTGAGGCAGGAAAATCACTTGAACCCAGGAGGTAGAGGTTGCAGTGAGCAGAGATCACGTCACTGCGCTCGAGCCTGGGCGACAGAGCAAGACTCTGTCTCAAAAAAAAAAAAAAAAACAAAAGAATTACAACCCTTAAGTAATTCTGCTATCATCCATACTGCAACTAGCTCTCCCGTGAGACCAGGGAACCTCAACCCTGACACCCACATGGGAGTCAGTGGGGGAGGCAGAGGTGGTCTCTGGGCAAGGATACGTGAAAAAAGTGTGTTTTCACAAAGCCTAAGGAGTTTTACTTTCTATACTGCCCCCCACTGTGGGTAACCCTTGATATGGGCACCAAGGAATGAGAGCTAAGCAGAACTCTGGCACAGTTAGGGCTTGAAGAATATCTCACTTTATAGTGTTACTACTCAGCTATTTCCTTTTATATAATCCTTTACATAATCATATATTAGTTTATAGAAATAAGACTTGATGGATCCCTTTATATAATCCTCTCTATATAATCATATAATAGTTGATAGTATGAGTGCCTAAAGAATAGTTCCCTACATACATACCTATAATTATATCTTAATTCATAATCGGAGGGATACCTAGAGTGGACACAGTACAGAGCATGAATTAAGGAATAAGCAGCTTATAATTGGAGGAATGCCTAGTGCAGACACAGTGTAGAGCATGATTTAAGGGAAAACAGTTATACCAGGACAAGAATATATGGCCCAGGCGGCAGCATTCAGTATCGTAAAGATACCCACTGTATGGCAGGCTTGGGGCCAGAGCCACTCCTCCTGATAAAGGAGTTGTGGGACTT